AAAGCGGTAGGGTAAGACAAAGAAATAGTGGAGTGATACGCATAAAAAAGAAGTAGGAGAGAGATAGAGAGTATTTGACTGATAAGTCAAACAGTGCTGAGTAAGTCAGCACATTGCTAATTGCTGTGCAGCAAAATAAGCAGTGCAACTCTGGGGGATAGAAAGGGACAAAGCGATAGGGAAAAACAAAGAAAGACAGATACGCAACTGAAGAAATGGAGAGAGAGAGTTAGTTTAGCCGCGGACCTTATCCTTATAACATGTAGGTCTATGAGTTCAGCACATTGCTGATTGTCACGCAGCAAAACAGTGTAATTCTGATAGTTCGTGAGTGTCAGTGTCATATGACTCAGTGAGATGTGATAATGTGAGTTGCTAGGGTCAGTGTCGTAATGGGTCGTAATATTAGCACAAAAGTGTGCTCGGTGTGCTTATTGTGGTTTTTGCTTTATAATATGGTGGCATTATTTTAATTATTTGTTTTTGTTTTTTAATTCGATTTAATAGATATATAATATGCGTTTTCAAATTTGGTGTATAAGAATTGTGCAAAATTAGTGAAAACAATCCCATGGACAATGCGACGGATTTGAGGTTATGTCAAGGTACGTCTCTTTAGCATATCAATTAATTGTTGTTACATTTGTATTTTTATTATTATACGAATTTGAAGACCACAATTTGAATGAGTAACAGGGTTTGTCTTACATTGCTAAGTTTCATTCTGTTCCTTCATTGAACCTATTGAACAATATGTACATTTAATACAAATAACAATATGCTGTTCCAAAGATGAAAATAATTTATTACAAATTTTACATGTTACATTTCATAAACGTAGGCTAAGTTATTGTAATCGTCCAAAAATCGAAATGAAAATTTTTACATTTATTCACGTTATGAAGGTTTCTGAACATTTTGGCATACCCCAGATAAAATGGTTGTGTGTGTTTGAGTGTATGTAGGTATGGATACAATATTTCGTCCACGTTTTCGGGCGTACGGATCAACCGATTTGAATGGTTAAAAAAACATTCAATTCCTATCGATAGAGTGATGTACTTATTAGTTTTTGGCAAAGGCAGGTCCAGCCGTTTCGGAGCTATAGAGCAAAGAGTGCAGAAAATAGAAATCCAGTTTTTGAGAGAATGGAGCATCCGATTTGAATGATCTAAAAAACATTCAATTCGTAATGATGGGAAGAAGTGGTGCTTAGTTTTTGGCAAAGGCAGGTCCAGCCGTTTCGAAGATACGGAGCTAAATGTATAAAAGATGGTAGTTTTTGAGAGAATTAAGCGTCCGATTTGAATGATTCAAAAAAAAATTCCGCTTGAGTTGACGAAAAAAAAGGAAAGAAAAATTTCATTTCTTTTTTCGAAAATAATTCATATTTTAATTTTAATTCTGGTTAAAATTCTAAAGGCCACTTATATACTTTAAGTATAAATAATTTTAACTTTTCAATTCAGTTTATATGATTCTTTTAAATATTAGGCGATATTACAGAATTTATAATAAATCCATCTGAAAACATTTAATATTCCTCGAACATTTTGTTACGGTACGGGAAGTTACAGCAATTTGCCTTAAGGCACGATGCCATACACAACTAGTTAACTTATATAATTATTGTTAATTTATTCTGTCTATTCGAATAGATATGATTATGATATTGTGGGAACTAGTTGGGTGCAAATCCTCACGAACGAGCACGAACGAACATGACGAACAAGAAAATACAAAAATGAACAAACGATATCATCGAGAGCAGCGAATAAGGAATCATTGGCACTCGACTCTTATCTTATCTTATCTGCCGTAACGCACTTCCGTTGCATTTGTACGGAATTACATACTAGTTGCGCTTAAAAAAGTTTTACTTCAAAAATCAAAAACTGTTCGAAAGATCTTAGTTGGGAATGATACTGATTAGTTTTAGGTGAAAATCTACCGAGCCGTTTTCTTGTAATTAACTGTTGAAAAAAAAAATTAAGTCAATTTTTTGGAACTTCTTTGGCGATATATATCATGGTCTTATAGAACTTACTGAAATATTACGGCCTTACGACAAGTAGTTCAGTTTTAAAAATTTATCAAAATTTGAGAAAACGAGAAGATTTTTTGACATTTGTTAAAATTAAAATTACGATTTTAATTGGACGATTTAATTAGACGATTTACTTGGTATACCGATAGAGTACTTGGTCTTAATGAACATACTGAATCATTAAAGTTCTACGGAAGCTGGTTCAATTATAAAAATTGTTGATTTTTGAAAATTTGCTTTTAGAAAATACTCCGAGTTAACGTGTTTTTTCGTTTTGAATTATGTGTAATAAATACACTCGGAATGCTTTTAATCACTCATAAATGAATTTATTTTTTCTTGATTAAGTCGATTATTTACACATATTGGGAAGTTCATGTAACTTGCCTCAATGCAAAACACCATAATATCAACTAGTTTATCTAGATGTTCTTTTTCTTATAAGTGACAATAATATTCTTTTAGCCTAATTAACTTCCCGTAGGGTAAGTTATAGTAATCGCAAAAAAATCGAAAATAAAAAATTTTATATATCTTTATGTTTCAAAGGTTTCTGAATATTTTGGCATACCTTAGAATAAATGGATCTATGTGTGTGTGTGTTTGCGTGTGTGTGTGTGCGGATACAAATTTTCGTCGACGATTTCGGGAACATTGATCAACCGATTTGAATAATTCAAAAAACATTCGATTCGTATTGATAAGGAGACGTGCTGATTAGTTCTTGGCGAAAGCAGGTCTAGCCGTTCCGAAGATACGGGGCAAAAAGTGCCGAAAACGGTAACTCAGTTTTTAAGAGAACGGAGCGTCCGATTTTAATAATTCAAAAAACATTTTACTTGTATTGACAAGGTGAAGAACCGATCAAATTTTCATAAAGGCAGGTCTAGCGGTTTCGGAGATCTAATAAAAAAAGTAAAAAAAATGCTATTTGGCAGTCAAAAATGATCATTAGACATACGAGGTGTGTTCAAAAAGTACCCGGAATTTTTAAATTTCGCGGGTCTGGAGTGTCTGATTGTCAAAATTTTTTTTTTATTGTGTTGGTATACATGCCCCTAAAGTATGATGAAATTTTCAGCTATATTCACTGTTTACTTTGTCTGTGGTAGTCGCTAAGGTTCGACGTGTTTTTCTGAGCTCGGCGATTTTTACAATGGAAGAATTGAAAAGTCAAAGAATTTGTATTAAATTTTGCGTAAAAAATGAAATAAAGTGTAACAAAGTGTGTGAAATGTTACAAAAAGCCTATGGTGAGTCTGCTATGAAAAAAACAAGTGTTTACGAGTGGTATAAGCGTTTCCAAGATGGCCGCGAAGACGTTGAAGATGACGAACGCTCCGGTCGACCCAGCACGTCAACAAACGATGAAAATGTGAAAGAAGTGGAAAAAATGGTTATGAATGATCGCCGAATCACAATTAGAGAAGTTGCTGATGAAGTTGGCATATCAATTGGCTCATGTCATAACATTTTTTCAAATGTTTTGGGCATGAAACGAGTGGCAGCAAAATTCATTCCAAAACTGCTAAATTTTGACCAAAAAAGCAATCGCATGAACATCGCTCAAGAGCTGGTAAATGACGTCAACAACGATCCAAGTTTGCTTGAAAGGGTCATAACTGGTGATGAAACATGGGTGTACGGTTATGATGTCGAAACCAAAGCCCAATCGTCCCAATGGAAGAGCCCAGGTGAGCCAAGACCGAAAAAAGCACGTCAAGTTCGATCGAATGTCAAGGTTTTGCTTACTGTTTTCTTTGATTATAACGGCATAGTGCATCAAGAGTTCTTACCACAAGGTCGTACGGTTAATAAGGAGTATTACCTTGAAGTGATGCGACGTTTGCGTGAAGCAATCCGAAAAAAACGCTCCGATTTATGGAAAAACAATTCATGGCTGTTGCACCACGATAACGCACCTGCTCACTCGTCGTTGCTTGTTCGTAATTTTTTGGCCAAAAACAATACCGTAGTCATGCCCCAACCTCCATATTCACCAGATATGGCTCCGTGTGACTTTTTCCTATTCCCAAAGTTGAAGAGACCCATGAAAGGACGGCGGTTTTCCTCGATTGAAGAAATAAAGGCCGAATCGCTGAGAGTGCTCAAGGACATATCAAAAAGTGAATATCAAGGGTGCTTCGAAAATTGGAAAAAAAGCTGGCATAAGTGTATTATATCTGGGGGGGACTACTTTGAAGGGGACCACATTAATGTAGACGAATAAATAAATATTTTTTTGAAAAAACGAAAATTCCGGGTACTTTTTGAACAGACCTCGTATGCACATCAAATTGCCAGATATTTTATAGAGATTTTAACAATAAGTATAAATTTTGTTTACATTCCTATGGGTTCCGTACCAATGTTTATCTGTTAGACGGCGATGCAGCGCTTACGCGCTTTGACATTTCGTCTCTATGCAGTTAAAGCAGTACGATTGCTTTCAAAAAAAGTTCAGAATTTCCAAAATATGTCAAAATAAAGAAAACATTATTTTCAATAATTTTTTTCTCAAAAAAAGTAATTTTTTGTCAAATTTATAGTTTCTCAAAAATCTAATTTTTTCGAAGTAAATTTTTTTCAAAAATGTTAATCGTTTTTAAAAAAATAATAATTTTTAGTACGGGAAGTTCCAGCAATTTGCTTTAAGGCACAATGCCATGCGCCCCACTAGTTTTTAATTTATTCTCTTTGGTCATCTTAGAGACAAAGAGACATTATTGTGAAAATAACATGTTGAATGTTTGATCTCTCTAAAAATATACTCTATGCTTTCTACTGTCAACCCTAATGTCAAACAAGTAATATTTTCCTTTTTATTTACCAGTATGATCATAATTAAATTCATTATCATATTTAAGATTATTAATTAAAAAGATAATTAAGATCATAAATTAAAATAGATAAATAAATACTTACTGAATATATGCGCAATGCAAATATCTAAAAATGTCAGACAAAACAACTTTCTCTGTAGAGGAGCAGTCAATTAAAATTGAGCCTCTAGAGTACTCAGTAGAGGACGTTAATCGTGATGCTGAAGTTGACCTTAACAGTCCTGGTGGTTTTAGGTCCGAATCGTGTCCAGGGGGTGATGAAACGTGTTTAGAAAATTTCATGAAGTCAGAAGTGACTATCGAGGAAGAAGTTAAACAGGATATAATTAAGACACCTGCTTATAAATGTGACATTTGTAATAGATCATTTACAGAATCTCATAATCTAGAAGAGCACATGGTCGATCATATGCCTAGTCACAGCAAAGAACGTCCTTTCAAATGCGAAATCTGTTCCAAAGCTTTCAAACTATCAAGCACATTGAAATCACACATGTTTACACACTCTGAAGAACGACCCTTTAAATGTGATATATGCGATAAGGCGTTTAATCAAAAAAGCAATCTAAGAACACACATGCTTATCCATACAGAAGAACGCCGTTTTAAATGCGAACTATGCAATCAGACATTTAAACGATTGATCAATTTGAAAAATCACATGTCCATTCATAGTGATGAACGCTCCCATGAATGCGAAACATGCAATAAGTCATTCAAACGATTGACTACTTTGAAATATCACATGCTCATTCACAGTGGTAAGCGTCCCCATGAATGCAAAATATGCAATCAGACATTTACACAGTCAAGTGGTCTGAAAAGGCATATGGTCACCCATTCAGGAGAGCGCCCTTTTAAATGTGAAATATGCAGTCGGACATTCAGCCAACCATATACTTTAAAACAGCACATGCTTGCTCATGAAGGAAAATATTCTTATAAATGCAATATATGTGATCAGGCTTTCACGCAGTCAAGTGGTCTGAAAAGGCACATGGCCACTCATTCTGGAGAGCGCCTTTTTGAATGTGGAATATGTAATCTGACATTCAGCCAATCATATAATTTGAAGAAACACATGCTGGTACATGAAGGAGGACATTCTGATAAGAATAAATGTGGAATTTGCAGTAAGGCATTCTATCATAAAAGCAAGTTGGCAAAACACATGATTACCCATGAAGCAAAACTCGAACAGGCTGCAGAAAAATAGTTGATTGAATATTAGTAAGTAGGAACTAATTCTAAATAACTTGAGTTTAGTATTAAGGGAATCAAAGCAGACATTATTTTTTGACTATTTTGTCTATTTTATTACATGGTCTATTTGTAATAAATCATTTTCACCTTCAATTGTGCTATTCAAAACAAAAAAGAATGTGCATAAGGTTCACACTTGATTGAAGTAAAACTTTTTTGCTATTATATGAGCTGGCATTTAAGTAAAATAAAAACATCATATAACAATTTTGAATAATGTTTATTAGTAATATGGTAACACTCGTGATGCACACATTTATTAGTCCATTATACACATTTATATAATGATAAATTATATATTTATAATAGCATTAAAAATATGTATAATATTTAAAAACAATAATGTAATTAAAGTCATACTTTAAATATGACATGATCGGTTTGTCATTGTAATTAGCATTTAGAAATGAACCTTCATTAGAGAAATGAAGTGATTGCTGATTAATAAATTCTATAATATTCCTTCAAACAGTGGATTATGCTATACAATGCCTAAACAAATATTGTTTTTGCCGCTTCATTTATCATGTAACAATTGTGTTTGAAGAACTTCATGTAATTAAAATTAACATACATTCATTGACTGCTTGTATTTTTTTTTTACTTTTTCGCTGGCTATATAATCTCATTCTCTGAACAGCTCTAATATCTGTCTTGTCTAAAAAATATTTTCCATTTTAATAACTTCAAAGACTTATGTTTATTGATTAGCACAAATGTTTACTTTGTTTTGTTATTTTCAAGGAACAGGGTAAAATATTCTTCTGATTCAAGCATTTTTCATTAAATCAAGATTTGTACTACGATGCAACTTTAAAATGTTTATTTATCTATGCCGATTTTCTTGTCGGTACGCATACAACGGCCGATCTCTATTCACACATTTCATCGAGAGCGAATGACAAACAGTTCGGACGTAACGCTATTTCCGTTGCATTTGTACCGATTTACACCCTAGTCATGCCTAAAGAAGTTTTATTTCAAAAAGTGTGCGTAAGGTTCACACACGATTGAAGTAAAACTTTTTTTGCTATGGTTTTTATTAGTAATATGGTAACACTCGTGATACACACATTTTTTAATGTCAAATATTATACATATTTGACAATAAAAATTATAAATTATATATTTATAATAGCATTTGGACAAAATTGTTTGACATTTTTTATGTAATGACATGTTATGATGTTAAATGTAATGTTATATAAACATTTGTAATTCAAATGTCCCGCCATTATTATTAGTGTGTTGGTAATGGTGTTTTTCTTCCACCATTTTTATCATGTTAAAAACTATGTAAAATAAACTATCGTGCCCTTCAGTAAGCCAAACAAGTAACATTAAAATAAATTAGTATATTTGAAGAAAGCTTTTTATTTTTCCCAGCACTAAATTTTTTTTATTATATTTGAAAACAATAATGTAATTAAAGTCATACTTCAAATATGATACGATCGGTTTGTCATTGTAATTAGCATTTAGGATTTGAACCATTATAAGAGAGATGAAGTTATTGTTGATCAATAAATTTTATAATATTTGTTCCCGCAGTGGACAACTGTAATATAATCTTAAGTAAATTTATTAACACTAGCAATAAATAAACTGCATAGATGTCCATTATGAAGTATATCTGTATATAAATGTACACAGCTGCACAAATTGTTGTTGTGCTTGATCTCTTGTTTAGAGTAATAAATCTGAAATTCAATTTATTCTTCATTATTTATAAAAATATGCAATCTTGTAATACTTATAAGCCATTATAAACGAAAAACATGTAGACTTCATCTAAACTTCCAAAAGTGTTAGAAAAAGATATATCTTCCGCATGATAGAATAAAGCTGTACTGCTGCAATAATTTTTATTATTTATAAAAATGCAGAGAATTATTATGTTAAACAACGCCTTAAAAAATATTGTTTTCACAATTTTACTTATCATGTAATTGTGTTTGAAGAACTTCGTGAAATTAAAATTAACATACATTCATTGACTGCTTTTTTTTTACTTTTTCGCTGGCGATACCGTCTCCTCTTTGAGCAGCTGTAGTATGTGTGTTGCCTATAAAATTAATTTCTGAAAATATATAGTTACCACGAATAATACCAATTACTTCAATAAACTTGCATTTCTTACACGGCACAGATTTTTCATTTGTTTTATTATACAATAAAAAAGCCCTCTGACGCGACTCGACGACCAATCACAATCGACCCGTTTAGAAATGATATCATCGAGAGCGAATGACAAATCATTGGCACTCGACTCGGCCGTAACGCTTTTTCCGTTGCACAGGTTTACTCCCTATTTAAAAATCGTCTACATTCAAAAAACAAAATCTTCGGGGTGTTGTTTTTTGCCGTGCAGCGGAGTTTTACTCGAGAAATGATACACTTCAAGGCTTTAAGATTACTGATACTTATTCAACTTAGATTACAGTTTAAAATAATGATCGATATGAAAATTGTAGATGTTTAAAATTTTGTTTTATTTCTATTTTAATAATTTTTACAACTGTCCTGAAACTGACAACAAGTAAAATATTTGACATAAAACTGAAGGCGTTGATAAAGTACAAATCATCTGACCATTGCCAGTGATTTGTCGAAGGTCTTATCTATTGTTGATTAATGCAGAAGACATTTTCTTTTTAATCGGGCCCTGGTAGAGTTGTCCTGAAGTTTTCTCGCGAGCAAGTTCGGGTGATCTGCTAGGCGATTTCTATATTTGTGTGAGTAAGCGATTATTTCATCCTTAACTGTGGTAGTGCCTATGTCTTTGTGTATTAACCAATTTGGAACATACTTTGGTGCTTTCAAAATTACTTTTAATAACTTGTTTTGAAATCTTTGAATTATTAAAGCGTTTGAGTTGGAAGTTGATCCCCATAGCTGTATGCCGTATGTCCAAATTGGTTTAATGATGGCTTTATAGAGGTAAATTTTATTATGCGTGTCAAGTTTTGATTTTCGTCCAAGGAGCCAATGATATCTTCTTCTGGTTTCTTCAAGCTGCTTCCTCTTTTTCTTAATGTGTTCTTTCCAGGTTAGTCTCTTATCCAGGTGTAAACCTTTTGATATTTGACTGTATCTGTTCGATCTATTATTTCGTCATCAAGTCTTACTGCAGGACAAGTCCCTTTGCAAAGAGTAAAAGTGATGTATTTTGACTTGCTGCTGTTAACTATTATTCTCCACAAGCTTAACCATTTTGGTATCAAGTCAAGATGATTCTGCAGCTTTTTTGATGCAATTATGGTATCTTCATGTGTTGCCAGAATGCCTGTGTCGTCTGCATATGTTGTTGTCCAAATGTCATCTTTCTGTGTCAAGTTTGCATTGTATAGTGGCCCAATGCAACATCCTTGAGGCACTCCTGATCTGACTGGATGTGATGTGGATTTTTCACCCCTTACACTAACCTTTGATGTAGCGCTTTATGATTAGGTATATTGTAAAGTAGGCCGGAGTGCCACGCCTTATCAAATGCCTGACTAATATCGAGGAAAACAACTGAATAGTAGTTCTTGTTTTGGTAAGCCTTGTTTATATTGTTGACAAATCTATGACTTTGCTCTGGTGTGCCATGTTTTTTTAAAAAAACATGTTCAGATAATGAAGTCATCATAAATAAAGTGTTTTGTTTTACTAATTAGGATCTTCTCAAATATTTTGGGCAACGTTGGAAGTAAACTAATTGGTCTATTCTTTAACCATCTTTAACTTTGAACTCTATTCGGATTTTTACCAGGTTTCGGAATATTTATGATTTTAGCAATTTTCCATTGATCAGGATATGATTTAGGTCTTATTATACGGTTAACCCTCTGTCAGTGGGAGTGGTCTGGCCAGACTTTTTTCGACTTCAATTTAAAAAAATATATACTTCTAGTAATCCTATCGATTTGAAATTTTTTGATTTTTCCTAAAATTTCATTAGCTGTCGATCAATGAAAAAATTAGGACGAAAAATGTACAGAAGGATAATTATAAGAATATTAACTTTTTTATACTTCGAACGGTCGGAGTGGACCACCCATACATATGACGCGTTTTAATCAGACTTTTGTCTTTTTTTCTGCTATTTTCTATTCAAACTGCGTTTTATATATTATTTGCTATGTGTTGTAACATGAATGTTAATATTTACACGTACACATATGAAAATGCCTTGAAAACCTATCAAACGTATTGGTTATCGCAAACATTGAAAATCAAAAAATAAATAATGCGCACATTATCAACCATTTTCTACTCGTACTGCGTTCGAAACTTTTTTTTAGCAAACCTGTAGCCGTAAGTATTCAGTTCAATTGAAATTATATTTTCACTTTGAGTTTTACAGCTCATTCCAAAGGCGACGCACCTCATTTCGTTTTCATTTGAATTTCACATTCATTTCGAAGGCGCCTAAGAAGAATAAATATTGTTTTTCATTGATATAAAACAGAAAAATTAACAAAAAAGCAACGTCTTTTTTATATTCCATGATGTTTCTTAAAATATTTTTATTAGAGGCAAGCTCAACGCATGCAAAAGACGGTAAGAAAAAGAAAAAATCAAAATTATAAGTATTTATTACTAACTAGCTGACCCGGCAAACGTTGTTTTGCTAAGTAAGGTATACTCAAAACAATTTCTATAGAATCAAAAATATTAATACTTTGTATAAGGATGTGTTGTTTGAATGCTATATACAATGAGGTATTATAAAACAATAACCCCATTAGTTTGTCTATATTTTGTCAATACAATCAAACTGGACGTTTTATGCTCTTCTATAGAAAACATGGTATAATCCAATCCTTGGTCTTTTTTGGTCTTTCGACTTATTGATTGCCTTTCAAATTTTTCAGATTCTTTTTGGATTGTGGATCTTGTGTATAATTGTAATTAATTAATACTACTGAGCTTATACAAAATTTTCAAATTTCTGCGAGAAGAGAATGAATTAAGTATTTCTTCTTTGACCTGCCTTTTGAAAAGTTTCAAGTAACATTTGATGAATTAAAGTAAATTTAATAAAAAGTATATATGTAGATGTGTATATAGGGGTGTATATAAGGTCCAATTTGACTTTGAGCAAATATTAATCATATTGTGAAAACCAAAATAATTATATCACAACAAATAATACATTTAAAACGAACAATTATCTGACTACGTTCAGTAAAAGTGTCAGCTACTTCATCATTGTAGAAATGTGCTTTTTTGTCTTTTAAAAATTTGTTATCTAGATCTTTTTACCCCATAGACGGGGCAACTTGGAACGGCCAGGTGGCAAACAGGTTTAATGTCTTATTTTAATTTAAAGGTATTTTACGAAATAATTACATTTTTAACTAATGCTAAAAAGCTACCAGCGGAAGAAAATACTTTTATTATGGATTTTCAAAGATTACCGTTTATCTCCCGATAGCAAAGTCATAAGAATCAAGATTGCAGCTGGTTATACATCTTTTTCCCTCTACTTTCAAATATCTTTGTTAAACAATGCTTAACTTTACTGTTTTTTGACACATCGGTGGCGGACCTTTTTAACCCCGGACCTTCATATATTACTAACTATTCTTTGATAAATTCTGGGTAATTATAACTGGAAAAATGTAATTCGACAAAATGTCCTTTTGATCGATATCAAATTTAGATTCTGAATTTAAATAACATAAATAAAAAATAATATAACCTAGAAAATGTTTTATAAATATCAATAAGTATATAATTATACAAATGAGATCTTTCAGAGCACCGTGTTTGAGAAAAATATGCCAAAAAGTGCATTTTCATATTAACATTTCAAAAAAGTTGATATTTTGAGTTTCTAATAGTAACACCTGCGACCCATTTTATAACGTTTTTGTGTATAAATTAAACTACAAACAAAACTACTTACTTCAATTTAATCATAATTAAATAATATTCACGTAAAACATCCTATTTAAAGTAATTGAATATCATCTGTCAAAAACGTTTGACATTTGACGCATTAGCCACCGTCCATTGTTTTATTCAAATTACGCTTCTACAAAAATTTTCAAATTAAAAATGTAAAGTTTCTACGCGGATTTGAAATAATTTCTCACCTTTTGGACTTTCTCTGGATTGGCACGAATTTTTTAAGACTAAGACTGGCCAAATAGATTCAGCCGTTTTCGAGTTTTATTCGGACATTTGAAAGAGAGCTCCATTTTTATATATAAGATAATCGTTAATATATAAGACACCAAAAACTCATTTATCCCATATAAATGCATGTAAAATGAATGGTGGTAGGTAAATAAATTTAAAACCGACGGAGAGTTAAACAGAATTATTATGAATTGTTTGTAGGGAAGTTCTTTAAGTGTATTAACACTTTCGACTCGGGAGTCGGACTGCTATACGGTACGCTGCGCTCGGAATATTATAGTGCTATTGGCTATGTGCGAAGGCATGGAAGGGGAAGTCAAATCGACCGAAGCGTTCGTAGTGGCTAACTTGGAGCACTAAAAGGGGCTATTATAAACAAAATTTTAAACAAAAACACATAAAATATTTATTTATTTCAAATTTAAATAAGATAATTAAAAATGAGCCACCATAGCTGTTCTGTAGTGGGCTGTAGAAATACCAGCAGAAAAAGTGACTGCAAATTCTATACATTTTCTACAGCTAAGTGGAAAGAAAATCAACGGGAAAAGTGGATCGCAGCGGTTAGAAGAATAAAGTAATTATCATGAAAAAATGTTTATTTTGCAAACAGTTTAATTAATACAATGCTGAAATAATGCGAAATATATATTTGTAGTGTTGATGGATCACCGTGGGTTCCCAAGCATTTGCAGTGAGTCGGTCGAGGTATTGAGTCTTACCTACTTGTCAACAATATTTTCTTCAATAAGTTAATTTCGAAAAGTTAATGTAGTTTTTTTCCTGCAATTTTATTTGATGGGTCTTGTCTTTATAATAATGTCTAAATTATGTCTTTATAATAATGTCTAAGTCTTTAGTTTGACCAAAAAATTGAATAAATTAATTTACTATTTACTTATTCTATTGATAAAATATTATTTATCATTATTATCATATTATTATATTGTTTTTATTAAGAACTATTCCGAGTTTATGACATAAGCTTTGAGGCACTTAACCTTACAAATATTTACTGCATTTCTTTATTTAATTAATCATTATACTTAACAATGTTTTAAGTACGTTGAAGTAAATTTAATAATTTCAATAAACATTCAGCGTTCACATTATTACTGTATCTTGTTTATTATTATTTATAACAATTATTTAATATCTTTTTTCTTTAACAAACATGTAAAACCCATGAAAACCACACACTGATAACCCCAATTAGTTCATATTTATTACGGCGCTGCAGTCACGCTCGGAGCGAATACTTATCTCTCAACTCGGAATTTTTTTTTGTATCGGATTTTTTCAAAATGTGGTTGTATTGCTTTCAAAAATAGTTATTATGATAATAAAATAGAAAATTTTGAAAATTAAAAAAAAAGCACACAAAACCATGCTATATTGTTTAAAAAATCATTTCTTCACAGATCTTTATTAGAGTTATGGGGATCATGAGCTAATAAATTAATTTTGTTATATATTTATTTATAAAATTAATAAATCAATCAATAAATGAATGTAATAGTAAATTAATTTTTAAAAAATAAAAAAAAATAAATGTAAGTTTAGTTTGCGACGAGTCGTCGCCGACACGATTTGCCGCGGGAGCAGCGGCATCCGAGCTTAGCGGTAAAACATATCATGCACAACGGTAAAATGACTATGCCGCCGGAGCGGCGGCATCCGAGTCGAAAGGGTTAATATTAATGTTGTCAACGCGACGTTATTTATGTTCACGCAAAGAGACAGAGACCGTAGAGACAGTATTGTGAATATAACATTTTAAATGTCTAGTCTCTCTGCTGTTAACCCTAATGGCCTAATGTCAAACAAGTAACCTTTGACAATATTAGAATTTAATGTAATTGCAAGTAACGTTCAAGTCCAATTATAAATATAATTATAATTAATTTCATTATCACGTTTGAAAATATAATTAATTAAAATAGATAATCAAATACTTCTTGAATACACGCAGTGCAAATAATTAAAAATGTCAGGCGAAACAACTTTCTCTGTGAAGGAGCAGACAATTAAAATTGAGCCTCTAGATTACTCAGTAGAGAGTATTAAAATTGAAGTTAAAGATGAATTTGAGAGTTCTGATGGTTTTAAATCTGAAGCGTGTTCTGAGTATGATGAAATTTGTTTAGAAAGATTCATGAAGTCCGAGGTTACTATCGAGGAAGAAGTTAAACAGGAGCAGTCAATTAAAATTGAGCCTCTAGAGTACTCAGTAGGGAATGTTAAAATTGAAGTTGAAAATGAATTTGAGAGTCCTGATGATTTTAAGTCTGAATCGTGTCCTGAGGATGATGAAATTTGTTTAGAAAGATTCATGAAGTCCGAGGTCACTATCGAGGAAGAAGTTAAACAGGAGATAACCGAGACACCTGCTTATGAATGTGACATTGGTAATAGATTTACATTTACAGAATCACATAATTTAGAAGAGCACATGGTTGATCATATACCTAGTCACAGCAAGGAATGCTCTTTTAAATGCGAAATATGCAATAAGGTATTTCATCGCAAAAGAAATTTAACATCACACATGCATATTCATACAGACGAACGCCGTTTTAAATGTGAAATATGCAATAAGGCATTCCATCGAAGCAGCAATTTAACAAAACACATGCTTATCCATACAGAAATACGCCCTTTTAAATGTGATATATGCCATAAGACATTCAATAAAAAATGCAATTTAACATCACACATGCTTATCCATTCAGAAGAACGCCGTTTTAAATGTGAAATATGCAATAAGGCATTTAAACAATTAACTTCTTTGAGAAATCACGAATCCATTCACAATGGTGAACGTACCCATGTATGCAAAACATGCAATAAGTCATTCTCACGATCGACTACTTTAAAATATCACATGCTCGAACACAGTCGTAAGAGTCCCCATGAATGCAAAATATGCAATCGAACATTCCCATGGTCATTCAGTCTCAAACGCCATATGGCTACTCATTTTGGAGAGCTTTTTGAATGTAGTATATGTAATCTGACATTCAATCAATCAAATAATTTGAAAATACACATGCTGATCCATGAATGTGGACCTTCTGGTAAGAAAAAATGTGAAGTATGCGGTGTGGCATTTTATCATAATAGCAGGTTGACAAAACACATGATTACCCACGAAGCCAAAAGTTCTTAAAAAGATGAAATGTGCAATGTGCAATGTCACACTGAAGATGGATTGTTAAATGAATATTAGTGAGTATAAACTAACTCTAAATAAATTAAAGTTTGTATTAAGGGAATCAAATCAGACACTATTCTGAGTGTAAAATTTGTAATAAATCATTTTCAGCTTTAATTGTGTTTTTTAAATGTACTTATTGTTGAATGAGTTCAATGAAGAAACAGAATGGAAATCAGCAATATAAGACAAATATTCTAACCCAGATACATTGTGTTTCTTAAATTAATATGAAAATACAAATGTAAAGCTAGTCAGACATTAATATAATAATTCTTACCCTAGCATAGGTACTAAGATAGTTATGAGAAATTTAATTATTCTGTATGCAAAACTTAAACATATACTATTAATAGCCAAGCTTATTTTTTTACAATTGCTTAGGGACCGTTCAAGTATTACGTAAGCACTATAGGAGGGCGGGGGGGTTATTGATTTGCTTATTTTTGGTAAGAAATTTGCTTACTTTTGCTGACAAAGGGAGGGGGGGAGTAAATAATTGTAATAAATCTGCTTAGGTAATACTTGAACGATCCCTTATTTCGAAGGTCTGATATAGCCATTTTAATAATAATTTTGATTAAAATATATCTGGTCTGTAATTGGTCTGGTGGTAATTGACTGAAAGTGGCATTTTGCTTTAGGGCAAGTTTATGAACATTCCCTTAAATGTGTATCTATTCAATAAAACTTAATCGACAAGAATTGTGAAAAAAAACATTAACTACTTGAGAAAGTTTAAAAATAAAAAGATAAATAAATGAAAGGATAATTTTATGAAACATATTTGACGATAAGAGAATTATGTCAATTCAAGACTTATTATTATTGAGCAATAGGCTATTAGCATTGAATGAATTAGAAACTAGTGGTGTAAGGCATCGTGCTTGAGGGGTTAGGGGTACTTGGAGACACGAAAAAATGAGAATTTTCAGTATTTTTAACTTCCCGTAGGGTGAGTGATTGTAATGGGCTGAAAATCGAAATTGCAAATTTTTACATTTCTCGATGTTTTGAAGGTTTCTGAACATTTTGGCATACCTCAGAAAAAATGGATGTGTGTGTGTGTGTATGTATGTATGGATACAAATTTCCAGTCACGTTTTCGGGCGCATGGATCAACCGATTTGAATGGTTCAAAAAACATTCGATTCCTATTGATAGGGAATGAGCTGATTAGTTCTTGGCAAAGACAGGTCCAGCCGTTTCGGAGATACGGAGCAAAGAGTGCAGAAAATAGAAATCGAGTTTTTGAGAGAACGCAGTATCCGATTTGATTGATCCAAAAAGCATTCAATTAGTAATGATTGGGAGAAGTGTTTATTAGTTTTTGGCAAAGGCATGTCTAGCCATTTCGAAGATACGGAGCTAAATATGTAAAAAATGGCAGTTTTTGAGAAGACTAAGCGTCCAATTTAAATGATTCAAAGAATTTTTGCTTGTCTTAACAGAAAAATTGATTTTGAAAAAAAAAATTGTTTCTTTTTTCTTTTTTTTTTTTTCAAAAAAAAAAATTTTTTTTGTATATCGAAAATAATTGAGATTTTATTTTTAATTCTGACTATAGTTCTAATATACTTCAAACAAATAGTTTCAACTCTGCAATTCAGTTATAATTCTTATAAATATTAGACAATGTTACATTATTTATAATAATCTATTTGAAATATTTAATATTCCTCGAACATTTCGTTACGGTACGGGAAGTTCTAGCAATTTGCCTTAAGGCACGACGCCATACACCCCACTAGTTTTTTTTGTTATTAAACGATGTTTTTTTTACAAAAATGTTAATACAGCATTATTATACAATGTTTTGACTTGAAGTAACAAAAATTTCAGAAAAAAAAAAAAATTCTAAAGTTATAGCTGGTTTTGTTGACCCTGTTTCAAAAAACGGTCCTGGCGGTGACCATCTTCACTCCTTAAAATTCATCTAAAATCAAACAAATAAAAAAAAATAGTTTTATAAATAGATAATCCTGGGCCTGATCGAAGGTTTTTTTTGCAAAAATTAACAAAATGGCAGCATCAGAAAAAAAATTCTAGATTTTTGGGTAAAAAATCAACAGTTAATTAGTCTTAAAAAATAAAAATCCTTCGATCAGGCCCGAGTTTATTCTATTATGTTTTCTAAAAGCTGTATAAATTTCATTAAAATTTACTAAGCGGTTTTTGAGTTACAGTGGTCACCGGTTCAAAAAACATAGTTCTGAGAAAAACGCGATTAAAGTTTCACATTGGATTTACGTACAGAAATTCGAATTATTAGATTACTTAAACCGAGTCATCTATTTCTGGGCCATATAATAGTTCATCAGTCATTGTGCAAGTTTCCAAAATTTCCATTTGCTGTTGCCTACAATCCTACGAAGCATTCTGGCCTCCTGAGTGTTCTTGTTGGCGCGCTGATCTGCCACTTTAACACGTGCAGCATCCAATTTTTCAACATACCAATGGGAATTATACCCACAATTAGGTCCTAGATAGGTCCATAATCAATAATAATGATTATGTATATGTATTCAGCAATTTGTACGATAGTAGAACTAGTATTCACGGTTTTTAAGCATATTTTTTACACTAGTTGGTTGAAGCTTTTAATTTTTTCTGATTATGGATTCAATCATGAACTACACATCTTAAAAGTAAATTATCATTGCTGAGATTGTCGTAAATCGCTTTAAAAGCTTTTAAAACATCAGGAGATTATTATATTACAGCTGTCTGCTGTGTGAATGAATATATACTTCATTTCTCTAATGAAGGTTGAAGTCCTAAATGCTAATTACAGCGACAAACCGATCATGTCTGAAGTGTGACTTTAATTACATTATTATTTTCAAACATTATAAACATTTTTAATGGTATTATAAATATATAACTTATAATTTATTATTATATAAATATATATAATGGTTGACATTAAAAAATGTGTGCATCATGAGTGTTACCATATTACTAATAAACATTATTCAAAATTGTTATAGATGTATTTATTTCAATCAATCGCATGTGAACCTTACGCGCACTGTTTTTTGTTTTAAATAACACAATTGAAGGTAAAAAAGATTTATTACAAATTTTACATTCATAAAATAGTGTCTGATTTAATTCCCTTAACACTGCATATTTGACATCCTTTATTCTCCGGAATGAGTACGCATGTGCCTTTTCAGACCGCTTGACTGTACAAATGCCTGATTACATACTTCACATTTGAAAGGGCGCTCTCCAGAATGAATTACCATATGCGTTTTCAAATGGATCGACTGTGCAAATGTCCGATTGCATATTTTGCATTCATGAGGACGCTTACCACTGTGAATGAGCATGTGATATTTCAAAGTAGTCGATCGTGATAATGGCTTATTGTATATTTTGCATACATGGGTGGGTTCACCATTGTGAATGGATTTGTGATTTTTCAAAGAATTCATTTGTTTAAATGCCTGATTGCATATTTCACATTTAAAACGGCGTTCTTCTGAATGGATAAGCATGTGTGATGTTAAATTGCTTTTTTGATTGAATGTTTTATAGCATATTTCACATTTAAAAGAGCGTTCTTCTGCATGGATAAGCATGTGTTTTTTTAAATCGCTGTTTCGTTTGAATGCCTTATTGCATATTTCACATTTAAAACGGCGTTCTTGTGTATGAATAAGCGTATGTATTGTTAAATTTTTTTTGCGATGGAATACCTTATTGCATATTTTGCATTTAAAAGAGCGTTCTTTGCTGTGACTAGGCATATGATCAAACATGTGCTCTTCTAAGTTATCTGATTCTGTAAATGATCTATTACCAATGTCACATTCATAAGCAGGTGTCTCGATTATCTCCTGTTTAACTTCTTCCTCGATAGTGACCTCGGACTTCATGAATCTTTCTAAACAAATTTCATCATCCTCAGGACACGATTCAGACTTAAAATCATCAGGACTCTCAAATTCATTTTCAACTTCAATTTTAACATTCCCTACTGAGTACTCTAGAGGCTCAATTTTAATTGACTGCTCCTTCACAGAGAAAGTTGTTTCGTCTGACATTTTTAATTATTTGCTCTGCGTATTTTCAATAAGTATTCGATTATCTATTCTAATTAATGATATTTTTAAACGTGATAATGAAATTAATTATAATTATATTTATTATTGGACTTGGACGTTACTTGTTTGACATTGGGTTGACAGAAGAAAGCATAGAGTATATTTTTAGAGAGACCAGACATTTAACATGTTATTTTCACAATAGTGTATCTATGATCTGTGTCTCTATGCAATATGTATGAACATAAATAATGTCGCCATAGATAAACGAGTATAAATACGCCATGGCTGGCGATTTGACGTTTCATCGATTGAAATGCGGAACTTTGATTATAGATGGCAGCACATGTACATCTTGTAAATTAACTCCTGGTATTACTTCTAATACATAAATAAATTTGTACATATAATCAATGCAGCCAAAAAATCTGAAATTTTTTTAATATTTGAAATAAGAACAAAACATACGAAATACAAGATATATTTTCAAATATATCACAGACATATTTTTGAAGAATTATAAACTAAACAGAAATAACTGACTACTATTAATTAAAGTATATTACAGACATATTTTAAAGTACTACACATTAAAGAGAAATAACTTAATATTATTAATTACTTAACGACTAATAATAATATATTAAAACCTAAAAACTAAGAAGTGAAAAGCGCAAGAGTATTGACGATGGAATGACAAATTTAGAAAGAATGACAAGTAATGCAAAAATTTATAAGGATAAAAAGAACAGCAAATCCTTCGCTGTGAACTTTCTTCTTTTCTTTGCAAATGGTATTTAAAATTGAAATTACTTAGCCTTTTCACTGGATTTGCACACTGTTGTGGTTTTGTATTAGATTGTTTTGTTTACCATCAGAATTATCGTCTGATCCTACATCAGGATGTTCTCCTAGTCGTGACTGTGTGAGAGGAAAACTCTTTCATGATTCCCGTAAAGGATATTTGTCTAATCCACCCACTTCTATAAAGCTCGAAGAAACCTAAACAAGAAGCATATTATTATACAAATTATTACAAGAAAGTCAGATACTTGATTTAAAGATACAACTACATTATTCAAAATAAACATCCAAGCAACTTGTATTTAATTGCTCGAGGTAAGATTACTCTCATTCGACAATCTGTCATTGCTTCTACATCATTTTTACGAATTGCCATTGATACACCAAGTTCTAAAATAATTATTATTAAAATAAATTCATATAGGTCAAACCTGAAAATTTTCATCGTAGTATTATTATACATTTTTATTATATAAATATATATATAATACATCATCATACATACCTGGCCATCACTTGCAAGAAAGACGTACAATTTAATATAAATTAGTTGAAACAACTTGGCACGTGACCATACTAAACTTATTTATTAAAGATTCACTAAAACGTAACTATTTAGCAACAACACGCGTGTACAAACTTAAGTTATTCGCACATTTGTACGGCATGCGTACGGCGATGAAATGTACGAACGAGCGTAGTTGAAATTGAACACATATGAGCCATCTATAATCAAAGCTTGGCAATACTCAATGTCAAAATGGTCAAAACACGGTAAAGCGCATTTGTTCGGAGATAACTCCCAGTCATAGATAAAATAAGAGTATATGCTCCCAATGAAGATAACATTTTAAATGTCTGGTCTCTTTAAAAATATACTCTATGCTTTCTGCTGTCAACCCTAATGTCAAACAAGTAACGTCTAAGTCCAATAATAAATATAGTTATAATTAATTTCATTATCGCGTTTAAAAATATCATTAATTAAAATAGATAATCAAATATTTATTGAAAATACGCAGTGCAAATAATTAAGAATGTCAGGCGAAACAACTTTTTCTGTGAAAGAACAGTCAATTAAAATTAAGCCTCTAGAGCACTCATCAGTAGAGAACGTTAAAATTGAACTTGAAGATGAATTTGAGAGTTCTGATGGTTTTAAGTTTGAATCGTCTTCTGAGTATGATGAAACTTGTTTAGAAAGATTCACGAAGTCCGAGGTCATTATCGAGGAAGAAGTTAAACAAGAGATAACCGAAACACCTGCTTATGAATGTGACATTGGTAATATATCATTTACAGAATCACATAATTTAGAAGAACACAACAGCAAGGGGCGCTCTTTTAAATGCGAAATATGCAATAAGGTATTCCATCGCAAAAAAAATTTAACAACACACATGCATATTCATACAGACGAACGCCGTTTTAAATGTGAAATATGCAATAAGGTATTCCATCGCAAAAAAAATTTAACAACACACATGCATATTCATACAGACGAACGCCGTTTTAAATGTGAAATATGCAATAAGGCATTCAATCAAAAATGCAATTTAACATCACACATGCTTATCCATTCAGAAGAACGCCGTTTTAAATGTGAAATATGCAATAAGGCATTTAAACAATTAACTTCTTTGAGAAATCACGAATCCATTCACAATGGTGAACGTACCCATGTATGCAAAACATGCAATAAGTCATTCTCAAGATCGACTACTTTAAAATATCACATGCGCGAACACAGTGGTAAGAGTCCCCATGAATGCAAAATATGCAATCGAATATTCACACAGTCAAGCAGTCTGAAAAGCCATATGGACACTCATTCTGGAGAGCCCCTTTTTGAATGTGGAATATGTAATCTGACATTCCAATCATATAATTTGAAAAAACATATGCTGATCCATAAACGTGAACCTTTTGGTAAGAATAAATGTGAAATATGCGGTTTGGCATTTGTTCATAAAAGCAGGTTGGCGAAACACGTGATTACCCATGAAGCAAAAGATGCTTAAAAAGGTGAAATATGCAATGAGGAATATACTTAAACAGACTGCAGAAGGAAAGTTAATTAATAATAATAGTGAGTAGGAACTTACTCTAAATAACTTATATTATGAATCAAATCAGACAATATTTTGTGAGTGTAAAGTTTGTAATATATCATTTTCACCTTTAATTGTGTTATTTAAATATACATATCGTTTAATGAGTCCTCATATGTTTTTCGTTGTATAGTATAGTGCTCAAACATAGAAGGGTATGTGACGTCACATGTCTGAGCGAACATTGCCGACGACAGTCGCGGACTCTCCCGATTCATCAAATGTCATTTGTCATGTTTTATTAACTTCCCGTAGGGTAAGTTATTGTAATGGGCCGAAAATCGAAATTGAAAATTTTTACATTTCTCGATGTTTTGAAGGTTTCTGAACATTTTGGCGTACTTCAGAAAAAATGGATGTGTGTGTGTGTGTGTATGTATGTATGGATACAATTTTTCGTGCACGTTTTTGGGCGTACGGATCAACCGATTTGAATGGTTCAAAAAATATTCGATTCCTATTGATAGGGAGATGAGCTGATTAGTTTTTGGCAAAGACAGGTCCAGCAGTTACGAAGATAAAAAGCAAAGAGTGCAGAAAATAGAAATCGAGTTTTTGAGAGAACGGAGCATCTGATTTGAATGATCTAAAAAACATTCAATTAGTAATGATTGGGAGAAATGTTTATCAGTTTTTGGCAAAGGCAGGCCCAGCCATTTCGAAGATACGGAGCTAAATGTGTAAAAAATGGCAGTTTTTGAGAGAACTAAGCGTCCGATTTAAATGATTTAAAGAACTTTCTGCTTGTCTTAACAAAATAATTGATTTTGGAAAAAAAAATGTTGTTTCAATTTTTTTTTTCCAAACAAAATTTTTTTGTATATCGAAAATAATTCAGATTTTATTTTTAATTCTGACTATAGTTCTAATATACTTTAAACAAATAGTTTCAACTTTGCAATTCAGTTTATATAATTCTTATAAATATTAGACAATGTTACAATATTTATAATAATCTCTTTGAAAACATTCAGTATTCCTCGAACATTTCGTTACGGTACGGGAAGTTCCAGCAATTTGCCTTAAGGCACGATGCCCTACACCCCACTAGTTTTAATAATATAATGGCAATTGCGATGAGTGAAGATTTTGTAAGAAATTATATTAATAATATTTATTTTACCATAATAGTTAATTTAATTAAATATTAACTCATCATATTGAGGGACTGATTCTGCCGCATAATAGACCAATGTTATGGCAAGGCTATGTTATAAAGAACTTTTCATACAAAATATTGACAAAAACCTTGCTGTGCATCGGGCGTTTTCTTAGTCTGTTATATAGAAAACGTACAAATGTCAAAAAAACGATTTTTTAGATAACAGGATCTTTCTGACCCAACTTCATAACATACGCGTGACGTTGCAATAAATGTGTAAAAGGCGTAAATGCGCAGCAAATACATAACATTTTGACAGTATTCAGTATGATTCATTTGCATAATATATGGAAGCTAGAGTGTAACATGGCCTCGCCATAACATTGGTCTGTTGTGCGGCAGAATGGGTTCCTGAATCTTGTTTTATAAGCAAAATGCATATAATTCAAGTGCTGACATATTTTTTGACCCTGTTTAAGGAAACTGTAATAGTACAATCTGTGAAATACAATTTGTAACAATAAAGAAGGTTTATAAGTTTTACGTTTAAAGAATGAAAAAACTAGTGGTGCATGGCATCGTGCCTTGGCAAATTGCTGGAACTTCCCGTACCGAAAACTAAAATACTAAAAAAAACTTTACAAAACTTGGAAAAAACTAGATTTTAGAGAAATTTTGAAAAAAATTGTTTTTTTATATATCTTGATTTTTTTTGTGTTTCAATTTATTTTGAAAATTTTGAACATGTTTTTCAAGCAATCGCACTGCATAGCTGATTTGAAGTCGATATATAGTCGCGTGGTCATCTTATAAACTGAAATACCATTTTTGCCAAAAGATAATCAGCACGTCTCCTTATCAGTAGGAATCGAATGCCTTCAGAATTATTCAAATCGGTTAATTCGTGGTCGCGAAATCGTCGACGAAAACTTGTATCCGCACACACGCACACACACAAATATATCCATGTTTCTTAAGCTATGCTAAAATCATAGATAAACAAGTAAGCTAAAATGTTCGAAAACCTTTGAAACGTAAAGATATATAAAAATTTTCATTTTTGATTTTTTTGCAATTACTATAAGTTACCCTACGGGAAATAATTATATCTTATATATAAAAACACAGAAAATAATTATATCTTATATATAAAATTCTTCTGTACCATTATATAATTTGATATTTCTCCTAAACGGTTATTCGGATTTTGATAATTCTTTTTAGAGTTTGTCAAAGGAATTTTTATAAGATTTAATGAACAATAAAACTATAGTAATATTGTAGAAATAATGGCAAAAATTACAAAAAAAAAACACTTATTGTTTGACATTGAAAACATTTGAACTTCATCCGCTAGAAATGTGAATTCACTTGAAATTTAAATTTAGGTGACATTATGAGCATAGATAAAATTAGAATATAATAATGTAGAAGAAAAATATAATGTCTGCATTATTATTGCCGAAAAGCAGCTGATATGTGCTAGAAATTAAAATGATATAAGATACAGTCAACAGTATATGATTGGCAGATGAAATTATATAATGCAGTTTAATAAATAAAGCAGTAAGTCCAAAATTGCATATACATTATTTTTTTTAAACTTATGCATGTCGCATTTTGGTTTACTTTACTACATTATTTAACAATGCAAAACAAAAAATATTTCTACATATTAAAAAAATGATCTAGAATTTTCTTTCATGTATCAAAAATTCATTTGTTTGGCATTAGATATGGAATATTTAGCGAGATGATCTTAGATTGAATAGTGCACATATGAACTAGATTTTACAAATTAATTCACCTAAGATTTGAACATAAACAATAATGTTTATTAAATTATTAGTAAGAAAAATGTGCTTAAGAAATTATAATTGCCAAAAAGCAACTAATACATCGTACGAGATTATGAATATTATAGACTAAATTATTGAAGCAATTATGTTATGTGGTAAAATCAAGTGTGACATTGTTCTTTTACTGCAGATACTATAGATATATTATTTTTTTCAGAGTTTCTTATACTGCTTATGCTAAGACCATAAATGAAACACAAAAGCAGGACATCAAATAGGATATTAAAAAGTATAGGATAGGATAATAAAAAAATTAGAATTTTTGAATTGTAGATGTGGGTACAGTACAACGTCTGTTGGGTTATCTAACATATACCATATATTTATAGTACTAATTTTTGTATAATAGTAATGAAATTTACTAATGCAATGCAGTATTAGTATCTGCTTATTAATATTATAATAATAATAGATAGTAGTCTGTTCGAAGGCAGGTCCATGGTATGAGAGCATCGCAAAATCAATGATTTTCTTCCCCTTTCTAGTCCTGTGCTTCAGCTTTCAGTTCCCTGTATTTCGTCTTCTCGCGTAAGTCATCAACCATCTGCATTCTTCTTCCTCTCAATCCTTTCAGTCCTTCTATTTTGCCTTCAACGACCTCGTGTAGGAGGCACTCTTTTAGCAGAATGGGTCCAATCAAGTTTCCTTTTTGTTTCTAAGGGTTTTCTGCAGAATGAGTCTGCAGGTGTTTTTTCAGATGATCAGATCGTTTGAATGTCTTATTGCATTTTTTGCATTCATAAGGGCGTTCACCGCTGTGAATCGGCATGTGTTTTTTCAGATGGTCTGATCGTGTGAATGTTTGATTGCATATATGGCATTCATGGAGACGTACCCCACTGTGAATGAGCATGTGTGTTTTCAGATTATCTGATCGTGTGAATGTATTATTGCATATTTGACATGTATGGGGTCGCACTCCACTATGAATGAGCATGTGTTTCTTCAAAACAATTAAATGTGTGAATCTATTATTGCATATTTCACATTCAAAAGAGCGTTCTCCTGCATGGATGAGCTTGTGGCTTTTCAGGGTGCTTTTTTGATTGAAGGTCCTATGGCATATTTCACATTCAAAAGGACACTCTTTGGTATGAGTGAGCTTGTGCCGACTCAGATTACTTGATTGTGTGAATGTTTTATTGCATATTTCACATTTGAAAGGTCGTTTTCCTGTATGAACAAGAATGTGTTTTGCCAGATTTGTAGGGTGGTTAAATGACTTAAAGCATACATTACATTTATAGGAGCCTTCTTTGCTATGACTAGACATGTGATCAACCATATGCTCTGTTAAATAATGCATTTCTGCAAATGATCTATTACAAATGCCACATTCATAAGACTGAGTCTGAGTTGACTCCTGTTTGACTTCTTCCTCTATCGTCACTTCAGAATTCATGAAATTTTCCAAAGACGTTTCATTATCCTCAGAAGAGGATTCAGACTTAACAATATCGTCCAACTCATCCTTTATTTCATCATCAATCTCTTCTACTAAATATTCTAGTGGTTCAATTTTAATTGTCTGATCATTCATGGACACAGTAGCTTCTTCTGACATTTTTAAATACTGCACGACGTATATTCAATAAGTATTGACAGAAATGGTTCCTTACTATTTTAATTATTTGTTTTAATTAATTAACTTCATAAATATTATAGTGAATTCAACTAAATTAGCAATTGTATTGAAAATGATAACATTAATTGTTTGACATTTGGCTTCACAACTGAAAGCATAGACATGGCAAAGAGCATGTATAGATAAGAGAGTAACAGAAGCAAAGAGTTTTTAGTGAGAGACGTAAACTCATGGCCGGTAATCTCGGAACAAACGTCTGTAACCCGAGTTTAGTTAGAGCCCCTGCCGCCGGTCGCGCTTGTCTTTTTTTTTTTTTTTTTTTTTTTCACTTTGAAATCGAATTTGACATATGACAGATACGTAAATCAAACATGGCGTCCATTGTAATAAATTTTTCATGAAGAGATAACCTAGACAATATAATAAATGCTTGTTAAAGTAAAAAACAAATAAGCTGTCGAAGTGCATTGTTTAACGATGAAGAAATACCAAGAAAAATGCATGTATTATGTAGTTCCAGCGAGAAACGACGAAGTAAAAGTAAAATAGTTAATAATATTTGCCGGCTTTCAATCTAAGTGAGTACTTTTATTAATATGCATACTTCGAATTACTTTCATTTGATTGTACTATTCTGATATGATTTTTCATTACAGTTTAATAATTCAGAAATAATTGAGACATTTAACTATATCAATACTAGAAATTTTAAGGTTATAAATAGATAGAGAGAATTCCTGTCAGCTTTCTGAAAGGTATGTTATTAAATAACTAAATATAAATTATTCTTGTTCTAATAATGTAGGATCATAACTAATAATTCTACATCAATTTTTTCAGCAGTATAAAAGGAAAATACGTTTAAATGTAAAATGTTTAGACGGTTTACTAAACACATTCACAAGTATACAAGTATTGATACGAGATGAATGAATACACAGGAAAAAACAATAAGAATGAAGTCTGAAATGTGCTGAAATCTTTGCTGATCTCCCACTAATATTGAACAGTAGGACTCGTAATTATATATTAAGTCAGTTTGGAGAACATACTAAAAACACTAATGATATAATCGTAAGTGGAAGGAAATTCTCAATTAATGGTGAAATTCTAGCTAGTGCAAAGGTTAATTTAGGTTTGGCTATGTCACAGGAAAAGTTTTTAAGTATTAATAATTTTATTGATTCATTGATATTACAAGAAATATTATTATCTGTGTTGTTTAATGATGATAAAGGGAATCACATTGTATAGATTTTCAGGAACTGTCAAATGACAGGCAAAGTATAATCATGATTAATGATAAAATTCTACCTAGTGCAAAGGGATAAAACACCCTTAATGTGCACTGCTTATTGCATTTGACTATTCTGAAAGAGTTGTCAATAGCTTTACTCTAAAATGTCTTATTGTAGATGCTATAAGAAAACTATTAAGTACTGTTATGATAATATCAATGATTGTTGTTTTTCTTTAAGACAATGATAATAATGACATTTTGAACAAACATTTGAATGCACATTAACAATAGCGCAGAAAAGATTCCCAAATAGAGACTGTACATCATAGATATTATGTAACTTAATGTAAATCAAAATAAATATATATGTAAATATATATATATATATATATATATATATATATATATATATATACACATGCAGGCCTTATCTATGCATGCAGGTATGAATTGTGGTTATATATGTATATGTATATATATAAATAATATCTACTTTCATGTACATTTCTATTCTTTTTGTGCTCAGCTTGAAAGGCTGATATGCTAAAATGATATTACACACACATATATATATGTATATATATATATATATGTTAAAGTAGTTAATTTTGATGTTGAGAAATATGAGTAAGTTCTTCAAGGGCATACATCAAATAAAAGGCAAAGATTTAGAAGTTAATCTTTAATTTTTCCAAATGTTTCGACATAGTATTTTATGTCATCATCAGTGGATCTACAGAATGAATATTGAAAAATTAATATAAACTAGGAAAAAATGACAGAAATTGGAAAAAGAACTATAGATATAAGTAATATAATTATAACAATAACAATTATACTTAACAGATAGATAAACAAGAGAAATGAAAAGTAAAAAGAAATATATACAAACATACAAAAGCGTAATATATATATACATAAATATACACACAAACAAACGTGTATATATGATATACATGTAAAAACACGTACACATATGCATATATACATACGAACAATACGTATATATAAACATATACATACGGACATGTACATATGTATATATACACATATATACATACATACACATACACGTATACACATATACATACATACATATATATACACATATATATATATATATACATATATATATATATATATATACATACATATGCAATATGTATGTATTGCATATGTATGTATATATATATATGTATATATATATATATATATATATATATATATATATATATGTGTATATATATGTATGTATGTATATGTGTATACGTGTATGTGTATGTATGTATATATGTGTATATATACATATGTACATGTCTGTATGTATATGTTTATATATACGTATTGTTCGTATGTATATATGCATATGTGTACGTGTTTTTACATGTATATCATATATACACGTTTGTTTGTGTGTATATTTATGTATATATATTACGCTTTTGTATGTTTGTATATATTTCTTTTTACTTTTCATTTCTCTTGTTTATCTATCTGTTAAGTATAATTGTTATTGTTATAATTATATTACTTATATCTATAGTTCTTTTTCCAATTTCTGTCATTTTTTCCTAGTTTATATTAATTTTTCAATATTCATTCTGTAGATCCACTGATGATGACATAAAATACTATGTCGAAACGTTTGGAAAAATTAAAGATTAACTTCTAAATCTTTGCCTTTTATTTGATGTATGCCCTTGAAGAACTTACTCATATATATATATATATATATATATATATATATATATATATACATTGTGGATAGCGTGTACATTTATGTACATTTTTATGCTTTTCGCACATAGTTTATACAGCTTACTACCATCTATTATAATCATATATAATGTTATATATATATATATATATATATATATATACACATTGTGGATAATGTGTATATTTATGTACATTTCTATGCTATGTGTGCATTGTTTATAAAGAGAACTATGTAGATATAATGTAGAATGTTTTTGTGAAAAATAAATGCTTTTAAAATTTTTTTTTTTTTTCAATTTTTCTTTTTTTAAATTTTGAATTAAAACGGTCCATATAATTTTGGTTCATTTCTATAGTATTTTTTATACGCACCCGTTCAGGCGACTAGTGCCATCTGTAGCGGGGGGCTTCAACTAACACAGGAATGTGGCAACGAAATATGGCCCGAGAGAGCGATCTATATACTCTTCTTTTATCTATGCGTAAACTAGTGCAAATTTATATTCATAGATAAAAAAAGAGAAGAGAGAAAAGAATTCTTTAATTTTTTGATAAATGTTTAATATTAAAACTAGTGGGGTGTATGGCATCGTGCCTTAAGGCAAATTGCTGGAACTTCCCGTACCGTAACGAAATGTTCGAGAAATATTGAATGTTTTCAAATAGATTATTATAAATATTGTAACATTGTTTAATATTTATAAGAATTATATAAACTGAATTGCAAAGTTAAACATATTTGTTTAAAGTACACTAGAACTTTAGTCATATTTACGATTAAAATCTGAATCATTTTCGATATACAAAAAAAAATTGAAAAAAAAAAATTTTAAACAAAAATTTTTTTTCCTAAATCAATTATTTTGTTAAAACAAGCAGAAAGTTTTTTGAATCATTCAAATCGGACGCTTAAATCTCTCAAAAACTGCTATTTTTTGCAAATTTAGCTCTGTATATCCGAAATGGTTAGGCCTGCCTTTGCCAAAAACTAATAACCACTTCTCCCAATCATTACTAATTGAATGTTTTTTAGATCATTCAAATCGGATGCTCCGTTCTCTCAAAAACTCGTTTTTTATTTTCTGCACTCTTTGCTCCGTATCTATGAAACGGCTGGACCTGCCTTTACCAAAAACTAATCAGCTCTTCTCCCTATCAATAGGAATCGAATGTTTTTGAACCATTCAAATCGGTTGATCCGTGCGCCCGAAAACGTCACTGGAAATTTGTATCCATACACACATACACACACACATCCATTTTTTCTGAGGTGTGCCAAAATGTTGAGAAACCTGCAAAACGTCGAGAAATGAAAAAAAATTCAATTTCGATTTTCGGCTCATTACAATAACTTACCCTACGGGAAATTAATAAGACAAATAATGAATGATAACTAGTGTATGGCGTACCATGATGATATTTTTTTTTCTTCAAAAGCAATTTTTTGTCCACACAAGCAGCAAGTTATTTGAATTATTCAAATCGGATGCTTAGTCCTCTCAAAAACTGTCATTTTTTGTATATTTAGTCTCGTATCTCCAAAATGACTAGACCTGGTTTTTCCAAAATCTATCCACGACTCTACCCATCATTACGAATTGAATGTTTTTTGGATTATTCAAATTAGATTCTCCGTTTCCTCAAAAACTCAATTTCTATTTTCTGCTCTCCTTGCTTTGTATCTCCGAAAAACCTGGACCTGTCTCTGCCAAAAACTAATCAGCATATTTCCCTATCAATAGGAATCGACTACTTCTTGAATGTTCCAAATCGGTTCATCCATACCCCCGAAATCGTCGATGAAAAATTGTCTCCACACATACATTCATTTTCTCTGAGGTATGCCAAAATGTTCAAAAAGCCTGAAACGTGAAGATCTCCAGAAATTTTCATTTTTTATTTTTGGCCCATTACTATAACTTATCCTACGGAAAGTTAATTGAAATTTTTTTTTTCCAAAAGCAATTACTTTATCAAAACAAGCGGAAAGTTTTTTGAATCATTTAAATCGGATGCTTAGCTCTCCCAAAAACTGCATTTTTTTTGTAAATTTAGCTCCGTATCTTCGAAACGGCTGAACCTGCCTTTGCGTGAAACTAATCACCACTTGTGCCCATCATTGCGAATTGAATGTTTTTTTGAATAATTCAAATCGTATGTTCTGTTTGCTTCGTATCTCCGAAACACCTGGACCTACATTTGCCAAAAACTAATCAGCACATCTCTTTATCAATAGGAATCGAATATTTTTTGAACCATTCAAATCGGTGCATAAAACGTGGACGCAAAATTGTATTCATACATACATACATACACACATACATTTTTTCTAAGTTACCTAATTAGTTTTACCTAATTTTTTCTAAGGTATTCCAAAATGTTCAGAAACCCTGAAACGTGAAGATTTGCAAAAATTTTCATTTTCGATTTTTGGACGATTTCAATAACTTACCATATGAGAAGTTAATAAAAGAAAATGATTTATATAAAAAATATTTTATTATTGTACAAAATCAGCTTTACTGTAAATTTCAACATAAATTTATGCATATATATATATATATATATATATATATATATATATATATATATATATATATTATTCTTATCTAGAGCAATATGCAGTAAAACAGCAGTAACACAATTGAAGGTGAAAATGATTTATTGTTATTTACAGATGGAGTTAATTTTTACTTATTAATATTTCATTGGTTTTTGTCACGTCTCTCACTATGAACAGCCATGTGACTTTTCAAATGGCTATTCCGATTAAATCTATTATTGCAAATTTCACATTTATAAGGCCGCTCTTCAGAATGAAGAAGCATGTGTTTCGTCAAATTGCACGCTTGTATAAATGTCTTGTTGCATGTTTCACATTTATGACGACTTTCTGAATGAATGAGCAAGTGCATTTTTAGACCATTTGCTAGTGTGAAAGTTTTTTTGCATATATTGCATTCATGGGGGCGTTCCCCACTATGAATAAGCATGTGTCTCTTCAAACAAGTGAATTCTGGATATGTTCTACCGCATATTTCACATGTAGGATAGCCGACTCCTGTATGGATATGCATGTGTCGCTTTAAATGAGTTGATCGAGTGAAGCTTTTGTCACATGTTTCACATTTAAAGGGGCGTTTACTTGTATGAATGAGCTTGTGTGATAACAAATTGCTTTTTAGCTTGAATGACATATTGCATTTATCACATTTGAAAAGACGCTCTTTGTAATGATGGACTTTGTGAACTTTCAGACTACCTAAATGTTTGAATGTCTTATTGCATAGTTTGCATTCATAGGCTCGTTTGTCACTATGAATAAGTCTGTGACTCGTCAAAGTACCTGAATGTGGAAATGTTTTATTGCATATTTCACATGCGTAAGGGCGTTCCCCTGTATGCATAGGCATGTGTAGTTTCAAATAGGTTTTTTGGGTGAATGTTTTATAGCATATTTGACATTTAAATGGACGTTCTTCAAAATGGGTAATCTTGTGTGACTTCAACTTGTCCGATCGTTTGTAAGTCTTGTAACAGATTTCGCATTTAAAAGGGCGTTCTGTACTATGAATAACCATGTGTCTTTTCAAAGTTGACGCCTTTTTAAATGTCTTATGGCAAACATTGCATTTTTCTTTGCTATGACTAAGAATATGATTTTTTAAATATGCTGATTGTGCAAATGATATATTACAAATGTGACATATATAAGAGGGTGCCTCAATTAACTCCTGTTTCACCCCTTCCTCTATTGTAACCTCAGAATTCATGAATCTTTCCAGGCATGTTTCATCATCCTGTGAACATAATTCAGACTTAACACTACCATCGAAGCCATCAAATTCATCTTCAATTTCACATTTAATGCCTTCTGAATATTCTGGTGGTTCTGTTTTAATTTTCTGATCATTCATAGATATAATTGTGCCTTCTGACATTTTTATATATGCTCGCTGCGAATATTTAATAAATATTGATGAAAATGTATGCTCACTATTTGATAGACAATTTTAATCAATAATAATAATTTGTCACTTTTTAAATGTGATAATGAATTTAACAAAATTTAGATCGTTAATTAAGAGGTTATTCGTTTAGCATTTGTTGATTATTGAATGAAGCATAGAGCATTTTTTATAAAGAGACTGGCCTAGGCCATAGGCATACCTATTTCAGATCTAAGAAGGCAGCACGTGGCAGCACTTATCCTTATCTACTAATAATTTCTTATATTGGAAATGAGAAAAAGAAGTACAAAATATATTTTCAAATATATCACAATATATCTATAGTTGACATTACTCAACCTTTTGGCATAAGGAAATTGAAACGACAATGGTCTTTAGACTTAGTCTTAGATTAGGTCTACTATAATATCATATTAATTGTAAAACTGAGAAGTTCTCATTGGAGTTCTTCTTAGGCATCGCTCTTAAATATTGTCATTTTAGCTCATAGGAATCTTTATGTATTTTTGATTGCTAAATAAAACAGAGTTAAAAAAAAATATCACAAAGATATATTTTTACAAAACATTTGAAATTAGTAATGAAATGTTTATCAATTAATAATTATTATAGTCAATTATAAAGTAACCAAAAGCACCAAGTGTTTACAATGGAATTAGAAATTTATAAGGAATGGTTAATATTAATTGCTTAATGACTAATAGTATATAAAAACTGTACAGAAATAATGTAAGAGCTTTCACAAAAGTATAATAAATTTACACGGACTGAGTAATATAAATTTCTTAATGTCTAATAATAATATATTAAAAAGTTAAAAATTTAGAAAATATAGAGTATAAGTATGTAGTATATAGAGTATACTCTATATGTAGAATATGCATACATACTATAGATAAGGGAATAGTATAATTAGAATAAATGACACAGATTTAAAAAGAGCTAAATACCACAGACATAAAATATATTGATATCAAAATTGAGAAAAAACTAAATTCCAAGAATTAAAATTTATTTATGAGACATCCTTCTTTAACATTAACTTTGCATTTGATAGTTATTTTGCTTTCTAATCAATCAAATTAAGTTGATTCTACAAAATCATTGAATTTCTTATGATTCGATTGTGTCTATAGAACAGTGCAGTGGTCCATTTGTCTTACTTGTATGCTCTCTTAATTGAAACAATATAGAATTTCTTGTCCTTATATTTATTGTTTCCGGAATGTTTAGAATATTTCTGAGCATTTTACACTCTGTTGTAATTTATACCTTAAATTATTGCGTTGTTTGTCTATCCTTCTTAACTCCCTCAACATATAATGGATGCGTGATACATTTTACATGCCCTCGGTGTCAAGACACTCCTATCCTTAGTCACTATATTCTGCTGCAATTTGTATTCCCAAGAACATCTAATAAACATAACATGTTGTAATATAATATCAAGACGTAATAGCAAATTGTATTAAAATATTCAAAATTATTATTACCCTTTTCACTGGAGTTGCAGAGTGTTCTCCTGGTCATATATCAGATTGTCCTTATCATCTTCTATCGCTGAGAACTTGACTTGAAAACTATTCTGTAAAGTATACTTGGACATTTCTAATTTGGTCACTTCTATATAACCGGAAAGACTTGCGTTTATATATTATTTCTGAAATTACCACAATTTGGTGCGTCACACTTTGCCATAATAAATTCCATTACAATGCTCACTTGAATACAATTAATTACAGCAACAATTCGCGAATCACAAACTCTGCTAAAAATGGCGAGCAAATCCTTGTAATTGTGGCGTTTTCCACATTTTGAAAGTAGTAGCGACATCTTTTGATCGCTGCATATAGTAATCCTTTCCAAAACAATGTACAGTAAACCCTCGCTTTACGCGGCAAGTGCATACCGTGCAGTATGGGAACCGTGCTATAAGAAACTCGTATTTAACATACAATTCAGGCTAATTCGTAGTGCGTTCTATGGAACCTTACATAGTGCAGTATGGGATCCGTGCTATGAAAGACTCAGAGTTGGTACAAATCGTACCATTTTTATCGCGCTGTATGGAGACCAAGGAATACAACTTGAAGTAGGAGTAATACGGACGAAATGACATGTAGGACATTGATACCTTATTCAAAAATTGGCGCGACACAGCAGTCAGCTCAAACGTGTTCTTAGGCAGCTATTATATAATCAAGCATGTCTAAAAGATAACAGTCGATAACAAAATTTACATCAATACCCGTTTGCACAACGAACTTATGGGCTGTTTACTAAATACCGTGTAATAAGAAGTCCGTGTAGTCGGAGGGATGTCGGATTTTTAGCTCCGTGTAGTATGGGAACCGTGTACCCAGAGTGCCGTGTAAAGCGAGGGCCTACTGTAATCATGTGGGATAAACATTCAACAAATACGCGTCACTCTGTCACGCATATCATAGATGGTGCTAGTGTGCTTCAAATACATATACTTTATAGAAAATGTACTTTAAACGTTCAAGTACCAATTTTGTATGTTGAAGTATATCTTTTTTTGAATGAAAAAAATGTTTAATTTTTTCTCATTATATGTTTTTTACAACATATTTAAATAAACTTTATACGCGTATATTTTGTTCTCGTTTAATTTAATTAACCAGGTTTATTTTTTTGTATTATATATTCAAATAAATTTTATCTAGAATTAAACTTAATGGTAAATTTACGTGCTACGGTTAGTGGCGACATGTATGATATGCTGAAAGAATTACAATTGATGTAATGTCAAAGTGTGTTTGCCATCTATTTATAATTGTTTATCTATGAGTGTAATTTGTTCGGAGATAACTTCCCACTTCGCATGGTGTCGCATCTCTAAAACTTGATCTATGCTTCAAATGTCAAACTACTAATGTGTTTTGATAGTAACCAATAAATCAATAATTAATGTCAATTTATTAAAAATCATAATCATATTTAAGAAGAAAATTGTTTAAAATACAATATTAAATAGGTCTCGCCATTCTCAGAATTATTTATTGAAAATACGCTGTGAAACTTTCGTAAAATGTCAGAAAAAACAATTATGTCTCTGAATGATCAGGCAATTAAAACAGAGACATCAGAATATTCAATAGAAGAGATCGAAGTTGATAATGGGGATGATATTGATGTTCCTGGTGATATCATTAAGTTGGAACCATATTCAGATAATGAAGGAATGTGTTTGAAAGGGTTTATGAATTCTGAAGTAAAGATTGAAGAAGAAGTCAAACAGGAATTAATTGAGGCACCCACTTATGAATGTGATGGTGAAAAGCCTTCTGTAGGCGATAAAGAATTCAATACAGGATATCTATTATATCAGGATGTTGATATTGAAAAACAGGAACCTTTAAATTTGAATGCATCCGATGATCGAAAACAAAATAAGCCTACACATTCTGAAAAAAGTCTTTATAAATGTGGAATGTGCGATAAGACATTTGCACAACTGAGTGTTCTGAAAAAACACATAATTGTTCATACAGGAGAGCGCCCTTATAAATGTGAAATATGTGACAAAGCATTTGCACGACGGGGTGATATGAAAAATCACCTGCGTATTCATTCCGGAGAATGTCCTTACAAATGTGATAAATGTGACAAAGCCTTCAGTCAATCATGTAATTTAAAAGGACACATGCGAACTCATACTGGAGAACGCCCCTATAAATGCCAGATATGTTCTAAGACATTTGCACATTTGAAAATTATGAAATCGCATGTGCGTACTCATACTGGAGAACGCCCTTACAAATGTGAAATATGTAAGAAAGGCTTTAGTGATTCGAATAATCTAAAGCGGCATATGCGTACTCATGGTTGAGAAGGTGCTTGTTAATGTGAAATATGCATGATTGGTGGTCTATGAAAAGTTACAGGATCTACGAGAGCACTTTGAGGGGACAAATCAATGAATGTGATGAAAATCAATCAAATATTAAACCTTTACACTGCAGATCTTTTGTTTTCTAATCAATCATTAACAAAGTTGCATTCTACAAAATCTTTGAATATCTTATGATTTGATTGTGTCAATAGAACAATGCAATGGTTCTTGTTTGTATACTTTCTTAATTGAAACAATAAAAAACTTCTTGCACTTACATTTAATGTTTCCGGAGCATTTTATGCTTCGTTGCAATTTATCCCTTAAATTATTGCATTTACGTTTCCACTCCAGATCATAGACACATGTGATGAAACAGCAACTCCGAATATATATTATCTATATAAGCATATATGTATTATAAAGAATAATATAAAACTACAACAGATCAATTTACTTATTTCATTATTATATTTTTTCATATGTGCATCTTTTTTGGGAAGGATTATGACATCTAAATTAATGGGGGAATTCTGCCATTACAGAGCTCATAAAATAGCGTGGTCATGGCAACACTCTCTTATGTTTGTTCTTGGTATTAAACATTATAAAATGTCTAACAATTTGCCGTGCGATCAGGTGTATTTTACATATAAACAAGCAAGGAAGATTGTTATGATAACAGAATTTGCGACGATGCAGTTATCATAAGATTATTCTTTGCTTGTTAATATATAAAAGACGCCTGATCGCACAGCAACTAGACTGCTTCACAATTTTTATCGCCATGGTATGTAATGAGCTCTGTTACGGCAGAATTGCCCCATAAGTTGCTAAATGTTCTATTTTTTAACTTTCAGAAGGAGAAGTTTGTTTTCGCAAGAAAATGCGATTTGCTAATTAACTTCTAAGTTATTGTAATCGTCCAAAAATCGAAATTGAAAATTTTTGCATTACTTCACGTTTTGAAGGTTTCTGAACATTTTGGCATACCCCAGAAAAAATGAATGTGTGTGTGCATGTATGAATACAATTTTTTTGTCCAAATTTTCGGACGCACGGATCAACCGGTAGGAAGGTTTGCTGATTAGTTTTTGGAGAAGGCAGGACTAGCCGTTTCGGAGATACGCAGCAAAAAATGCAAAAAATAGAAATCGAGTTTTTGAGAGAACGGAACATCCGATACATTCAATTCGTAATGATGTGGGGAATTGGTGATTGGTTTTTGGCAAAGGCAGGTCCAATCGTTCCGGAGATACGGAGCAACGTGTACAAAAAATGGCTGTTTTTGTGAGAACTAAGCGTCCGATTTGAATGATTCGAAAAGCTTACCGCTTGTGTCGACGATTTTTAATTTAAAAGTCCCAAAGCAATTGTTTCGTCAGCACAAGCTTAGTTATGGATGCTTAGTTCTCTCAAAAACTGCCATTTTTTGCACATTTAGCTCCGTATCTTCGAAATGGCTGGCTGAAACTGCCATTTTTCACACTTATAGCTCATTATCTCTGAATCGAATGGACCTGTTTTTGTCAAAAACTAATCACCACTTCTCTCCATCATTACGAATTAAATGTTTCTTGGATCATTCAAATCGGATGCCCTGTTCTCTCAAAAATTTAATTTTTATTCTCTGCACTCTTTACTCCGCATGTATCTCTGAAACGGCTAGTCCTGCCTTTGCCAAAAACTAATCAGCAAATTATATAACAAATCGGTTGATCCGCGCACCCGAAAACGTGGATGAAAAATTGTGGAGACACAAAAGACATACACACATCCATTTTTTCTGAGGTTTTGGCACACCTTAGTAAAATGGATGTTTGTGTGTGTGTCTATGTATGTTTGGATACAATATTTTTGTCCACGATTTCGGATTCAAATCAACCGACTTGAATGATTGAAAAAACATTCGATTCCTATTGATGAGAAGGCGTGCTGATTAGTTTTTGGTAGAGATAGGGTCAGCCGTTTCGAAGATACAGGGAAAAAAGTGCCAAAAACTGTAATTCAGTTTTTGAGAGAACGGAGTACCCGATTTGAATGATTCAAAAAACATTTTACTTGTATCGACAAAATGAAAAATTGGAGATCATTAGATATATGCTCATAAAATGTTTAAATATGAGTACTAATTTTGTTACAATTTTGTTGGGTTCCGTACCAAGATTGTTAATTTTTGAAGTTTACTTATACGGTTCAAGCAAATTTAAAAATTTTCAGAAAACAAATTTTAACAAGATTTTCAAAAATATACAAAGTTTTATACTTATTCTTATTTATACTTATTTCGAAAATGTATATATTTCGAATGCCTTATTCAAATAGTAAGAAATATAACCTCAGATGGATTTATTCGACACCTCTTGCCAATGTAAACATTCTCAAGTGCTTTGAGCGATAAGATTGTCACTGGATATTTTATGAACGATAAAATATATAGTGATTATAATGATCTATTTGAAAATGTTTAAAACAATTGTAAATTATTAATCATTATTTATTGATTACTGTTTTTTTTCTCGAAAATTTAATTGTGGTACGGAAAGTTCCAGCAATTTGCTTGAAGGCATGATGCCATGCATCAATAGTTTATCTTTTTATGAATTTAAATTTAAAGTGAAAACAGTGAAAACTTTTATCCATTCACAGACGAAAGAAGAGTATCCAATCTATCTCTTCTTTTAACTATGATTCGTTTATGGAAAATAATATTGCACGAGTTTCATGTCGTCTCTCTATGCTGTCGATTGTCAATTTACTCAAGTTTTCATTTTCAGTAACAAATGTAGATATAATTGAATTAATTATCATATTTTAGAAGATTATTGAGTCTATCTATTTTATTCATAGATTACTAAATTGTACGCTGCTATTATTGAATACGCGAAGTGAAAATTTCTAAAAATGTCAGAAGAAAAATCCATGACAATTAAAATGGAACCACTAGAATATTTAGAAGAAGACATTAAATGTGAAATTGAGGTTGAATTTGATAATGGTGATGATATTGTTAAGTCTGAATCGTGTACTGAGGGTGATGAAACGTGTTTAGAAACAGTCCTGAAAACCGAGATAATAATTGAAGAAGAAATCAAACAGGAGGTAATTGAAACGCCCTTTTATGAATGTGACATATGTAATAGATCATTTTCAGAATCGCATTATTTAAAAGAGCACATGGTCGAACACATGAGTAGTCACATCAAAAAAGACTCCCATAAATGCGATCTATGTTCTGAAACATTTGAACACTCGTCAATTTTATCAAAACACATGCTTACCCATGCAAGAGAGCATCATCGTTATACATGTCAAGTATGTAGTAAAACCTTCAAAGGTTCAGGTGCCTTAAAAAGACATATGAGCATCCACACAGGGGAACGCCCTTTCAAATGTGATAGATGTGATAGAGACTTCAGACAACTGGGTACTTTAAAAAAGCATATGATAATTCATACTGGATTACGCCCCTTTGAATGCAAATTATGCAATCGGACATTTACCCAGCAAAGCAGCATGAAAAGGCATATGGTCACTCATTCCGAAGAGCGCCCTTTTAAATGTGAAATATGCAATCAGACATTCAACCTATCATATACTTTGAAACAACACATGCATATCCATACAGGTGAACGCCCTTTTAAATGTGAAATATGTAGTAAAACATTTGCGAAATTGATGGTTTTGAAAAATCATATGCGTATACACAGTGGAGAACGCCCCCATGAATGCAAAATATGCAATAAGACATTCACACAATTACAACATCTGCAAAGGCACATGCTGATTCATTCGGGAGATCGCCCTTATAAATGTGATGTATGCAATAAGAGATTTAATCGATCTGATAAATTGGGGAAGCACATGAAAATTCACAGTCGGAAGCAGAATGAAAATCATTGAAATATTAGTGAGTAGGAATTAATTCTAAATAATTTTGAAAAAAACAATTAAGGTAATATTTTATGGATGTAAAATGTGTAATAAATCATTTTTACTTTCAATTGTGCTTTTTAAAACAACTTATTGTTATTTATGATAATAAATGTACATATCTGCATTTAAAGATTGTTTATAGGATGAATGATCATTGCAAAACCTTAGACCATAAAACTATTGTAAACTAGTGGTTTATGGCATTGTGCCTTACGTTAAATTGCTGAAACTTTCTGTACCGTAATGAAATATTCGAGGATTATTAAATGCTTTCAAATAGATTATTATAAATACTGTAACTTCTATATGTTCACAGAAAAGTGAATAAACAAAACTTAATCAATCAAATTTTAACTGAAGGACATTGTCTAATATTTATAAGAATTATAAACTGAGTTGCAAAGTTGAAGTTACTTATTTGAAGTATATAAGTAAGCTTTAGAACTTTAGTGAGAATTAGAATTAAGATCCAACTTATTTTCGACACTCAAAAAATTTTTTTCTTTCCAAAAACAATTGTTTCAACAAAAGCAGAAAGCTTTTTGAATCATTCAAATCGGATGCTTATTCTCTCAAAAACTACCATTTGTTGCACATTTAGCTTGGTATCTCTTTAGCTGGTAGCTGGTTAGACCTGCCTTTGCAAAAAAAAAAACTGATCACCTCTGGGGTCGTTCAAGTATTACGTAAGCAGATTTATTACAATTATTTACCCCCCCAATCCCCCTTGTTAGCAAAAATAAGCAAAGCTCTTATCCCCCACCTATATATTTAAAATACTACCTATGACGTAATCATCATTTAGACTCCCCTGCCCCCCATGTCACCCAAAATAAGCAAATCAATAACCCCCCCGCCCCCCTATAGTGCTTACGTAATACTTGAACGGCCCCTCTTCTCCCCAACATTACGAATTGAATGTTTTTTGGATCGTTCGAATCGGATACTCCGTATTCTCAAAAACCCGATTTCTATTTTCTGCACTCTTTGCTCCGTATCTCCGTAACGGATGGACTTGCCTTTGCCAAACTATCTAATCAGTACATCTTCCTATCAATAGAAATCGAATGTTTTTTGAACCATTCAAATCGGTTGATCCGTGCGCTCGAAAACGTGGACGGAAAAATGCGAACATACAAAACACTCACACACAAACACAGAAATTCATTTTTTTAGGTACGCCAAAATGTTCAGAAACCTCTGAAACGTGAAGATAAGCAAAAACTTTCATTTTCGATTTTCGGCTCATTACTATAACTTACTAAAAAAAGGCTGATTGTATTGCATTTTTTCATGGACTTGTAGTAAGCGAGTCTAAAGAAGTTTTACTTCAAAATATTTCATGAGTGTTTTATGGCGTGTAGGGTGTCGATTAAAAGCTCTTTTTAAGTAGAATATGATTGTATATATAAAATTATAAATAAATGTTATGATAATTATTACTATATTTTAGGAATATTAAAATGTTTCGAGTTTAAGTAGTTTTGTATAAAATACCAAAATTAAAATAGAATTTGTTAAAATTATACACTTGCATTGCATTTTTTATGGATTTGTAGTAAGCGAGTCTAAAGATGCTTCACTTCAAAAAACTTAATATCAATGTTTTATAAGAATCCTGAATTGTGAATTTCTCGATACTTGTAAATGAAATATTATTGATCTTGAGGACAAATTTGAATTGGAAATGCTAAATGCTAGAGTGCTATGCCTGGAGCATAGCTCTGTACAGGAGAAGTGGTGTTTAATTTTTGGCAAAGGCAGGCCCAACCATTTTGGAGATACCGAGCTAAATATGCAAACAATTGCAGTTTTTGAGAGAACTAAGCATTCGATTTAAATGATTCAAAAACTTTTTGCAATCAATTTCCTTTGGAAAAAAAATATTAAAAAAAAAAATTGTGTATTGAAAATAACTCGGATTTTAATTTTAATTACACACTAAATAAAAATTATTTCGTTAAAATACCGAATATTTGGCAGGTTTTTAACTGCTAAATTCGTTCGTATAGTCCAGTCATTATAGTAAGTTCACCTCAGAATTCAAGATACCTAGCTGTAAGTCTGTAAATACTGTATATTGACACCTTAAAAGTTGTCTCAAAACCTACATATGGTAGGGTGTATGGGGTGTACGTACCATATGTAGCTTTTGAGACAACTTTTAGAGTGTCAATATACAGTATTTACAGCATTACAGCTGAATATCTCGAATTCCGAGATTCTTATTTAATTTTAGCTTAAATGATTGGACTAGTATTAAAGTAATTACTATTTGCAGTAGTTATATTACTAACGTACTACATGTATATTCAATTTTTATGTCTAGGTTTGCAATTACTATTCGGTCACTCTTTCTTATTTGGAAAATTTGATATCATTTATACTATTCGGCCGAATACCGAATACTTAAATAACATATGTGCTAGGGGGAAAAATCAAAAAGCGATTCTTTACATATATATAAATGTATTTCTAATTATTTCTTTCATAAACATTTATTGTTTTCTTTTTAAAACAGAATATTATTTCTTATATGTTATAACTGACCAAAAATATTATTTGTATTTTTTGCAATGAAGAGCCTATGATATCTCTTTATTTAAACATGCTTAGATTGAATATAATGAATGACTTTATTGAATATAAATACAACACATGCATGTAATCATTGAATGATTCCTTACAAATAACATAAATTTATAACAAAAACGTGTCCTTTGAATATTGAGTAAAGTGTTCTTCACGTATTCGTTTATAATCTCAAAAAGCGATAAACTTTAAACTATTATATATTCAAAGTACAATAGTGAATTTATTACATAATTCTTCATATCATATTATGTAAATCTAAAGCCTTCAAAATATACAGATCCATCGCAAGCTCTTTATTGCGTAAAAGATAAAACACACACACAATATTTTCTCCGAATTTTTTATTTTTGCCCGAATATTAAGTTACTATTCAGCATATTCGGCCGAATACCGAATGGTAACCAAATATTCAGTGCAAGCCTACTTATTAACATTTCTTGACGTTTTGAAGGTTTCTGAACATTTTGGCATACCTAAGAAAAAATGGATATGTTCGTGTGTGTGTATGTATGTATGGATACAATTTTTCGTCCACGTTTCCGGGCGTACGGATCAACCGATTTGAATGGTTCAAAAAACATTCGATTCCTATTGATAGGGAGATGTGCTGATTAGTTTTTGGCAAAGGCAGGTCCAGCCGTTACGGAGATACGGAGCAAAGAGTGCAGAAAATACAAATCGAGTTTTTCAGTGAGCGGAGCATCCGATTTGAATGATCTAAAAAACATTCAATTAGTAATGATTGGGAGAAGTGATTATTAGTTTTTGGCAATGGCAGGCCCAGCCATTTCGAAGATACAGAGCTAAATGTGCAAAAAATGGCAGTTTTTGAGAGAACTAAGCGTCCAATTTAAATAATTCAAAGAACTTTCAGCTTGTTTTAACAAAGTAATTGATTTTGGAAAAAAAAAATTGTATCATTCTTTTTATATTTTTTAACTTCCCGTAGGGTAAGTTATTGTAATCGAAAATTTTTACATTTCTCGACGTTCTCAGAAAAAATGGATGTGTGTGTGTGTATGTATGTATGGATACAAATTTCCAGTCACATTTTCGGGCGCACGGATCAACCGATTTGAATGGTTCAAAAAACATTCGATTCCTATTGATAGGGAGATGTGCTGATTAGTTTTTGGAAAAGGCAGGTCCAGCCATTACGGAGATACGGAGCAAAGAGTGCAGAAAATGCAAATCGAGTTTTTCAGTGAACGGAACATCCGATTTGAATGATCTAAAAAAACATTCATTTAGTAATGATTGGGAGAAGTGATTATCAGGTTTTGGCAATGACAGGTCCAGCCATTTCGAAGATACAGAGCTAAATGTGCAAAAAATGGCAGTTTTTGAGAGAACTGAGTGTCCAATTTCAATGATTCAAAGAACTTTCAACTTGTTTTAACAAAGTAATTGATTTTGGAAAAAAAAATTATATCATTCTTTTTATAATTTTTTTTTTTTTGTATATCGAAAATAATGATCTAAAAAACATTCAATTAGTAATGATTGGGAGAAGTGATTGTTAGTTTTTGGCAATGGCAGGCCCAGCCATTTCGAAGATACAGAGCTAAATGTGCAAAAATTGGCAGTTTTTGAGAGAACTAAGCGACCAATTTAAATGATTCAAAGAACTTTCAGCTTGTTTTAACAAAGTAATTGATTTTGGGGAAAAAAAAATTGTATCATTCTTTTTATATTTTTTTTTTTTTTAGTTTTTTTTGTATATCGAAGATAATTCAGATTTTATTTTTAATTCTGACTAAAGTTCTAATATACTTTAAACAAATAATTTTAACTTTGCAATTCAGTTTATATAATTCTTATAAATATTACACAATGTTACAATATTTATAATAATCTGTTTGAAAACATTCAGCATTCCTCGAACATTTCATTACGGTACGGGAAGTTCCAGCAATTTGCCTTAAGGCACGATGCCATACACCCCACTAGTTTCATTTTCCACATTAGTGCACATACATCAATGAATACGAATGTGTTTTTCAGATGGCGTAATAGTGTGAATGCTTTATTACATATTTTGCATTCATAGGGACGTACTCCACTGTGAATGAGCATGTGCGTTTTCAAAGCATTTGATCTCTTGAATCTTTTACTGCATATTTCACATTTAAAACGGTGCTCAGCTGTATAGATACATACGTGGCGTCTTAAAGTAGATGCTTGGCTGAATGTCCGATTACATATTTCACATTTAAAAGGGCTCTCTCCCGAATGAGTGACCATGTGCCTTTTCAGACTGCTTGCCTGTGTGAATGCCTGATTGCATATTTCGCATTTGTGTCGGCGTTCTCCTGTGTGGATAAGCATGTGTGTACTTAAATGGTATTTTTGGTTAAATGTTTTATTGCATATTTCACATTCAAAAGGACGCTCTTTAGTGTGAATGAGCATGTGCTGTTTCAGACTGCTCGTCTGAGTGAAAGCTTTATTGCATATTCCACATGTGTGAGGGCTTTTTCCGGTATGAAGAATCATGTGTTTTGCTAAAATTGTCGGTTGTCTGAATGTTTTAAAGCATATATCGCATTTGTGGGGGTTTTTGTTGCTATGACTACTCATATGTTCGACCATATGCTCTTTTAAATAATACGATTCTGAAAATGATCTATTACATATGTCACATTCATAAGAGGGTGTCTGAATTAACTTCTGTTGGACTTCTTTCTCTATCGTTACTTCTTCGGACTTCATGAATCTTTCTAAACTCGTTTTGTCGTCTTCAGAACATGATTCAGGCTTAACAAAATCATCAGCATTATCAAATTCATCCTTAATCTCTTCTATTGTATATTCTAGTGGTTCAATTTTAATTTCCTGAACATTCATAGACATAATTGTTTCTTCAGACATTTTTAGATAATTGCACCATGGATATTCAATAAGTACTGGCCAAAATGGTTACGTGCTATTTAATAATGTATTTTAATTAACGTCCTTCATAAATATGATATTAAACTTATTTATATTTATATTTATTGTTGGAAATCTAATTGAAAGTATTTAGTTTTTTGACATTTCAAGCATAGAGTATGTTATTATGAAGATGAGACACTTACCTAGTTTCCAAATTCAGAACAATTCTCTATGCTTCAACCTTCGTCTGGCAACATGAACCACCAAACGACAAACCGACTTTTGCAAATTTAAAGAACAAATGTTTTTATTATCAATTCTGGAATAAATATTAAGTTTTCGTGAAAACTTCCGGTTTGCTAATTTTGTTTTCTTGGCGTTACAAGTCGTTCTGAGTCGAATGGGACCACATTTCGAAAAAGTAGTAAAGTAAAAAGTGTGTGTGCACGCGAGCTAATTTAAATTTAACTAGTTGGTATTGGTATTTTGCCTTGAGGCAAGTTACATGAACATCCCGATATGTGTAAATAATCGACTCAATCAATAAAAAATAAATTAATTTATGAGTGATTAAAAGTATTCCGAGTGGATTTATTACACATATTTGAAAACGAACGAACACTAAGTAGAGTATTTTCTAAAAGTATTCTAAGTGGAGTATTTTCTAAAAGCAAATTTTCAAAAATCAACAATTTTTGTAATTGAACCAGTTTCCGTAGGACTTTAATGGTTTAGAATGTTCATTAAGATCAAGTACTCTACCGTTATACCAAGTAAATCGTCTAATTTATATTTTAACAAACGTCAAAAAAACTATATATACTATACTACTATATAACTATAGTATACTCATTTTCTCAAACTTTGATGAATTTTTAAATTTAAATTACTTGTCGTAAGACCGTAATGTTTCAGCAAGTTCTATAAGATCATGATATATATATAAAAAAAAAAAACTCCATGAAAATCGGCTTAATTTTTTTTCAACAGTTAATTACAAGAAAACGGCTCGGTAGATTTTCACCTAAAACTAATCAGTACCATCCCGAACTAATATCTTTCGAACAGTTTTCGATTTTTTAAAATCGGTTCGGTAGTATAAGCTTAAATGTGGACGAAAAGTTTAACACTTCTTTCGAAATTACAAAGAAATGGCTTGGCAGATCACCGCACAAAACTGACAAACGATGGTCCTCATTGAGATACATCAAATGGCTTTTAAATTTTTGAAATCGGTTCAGGCGTTTTTGAGAAAACGTCGATAAAAGGTCTAATTTTGACAAATGCCAGAAAAACGATATTAATTTTTGCAAACTTTGAAGAATTTTAAAAATTAAACGACTTGCCGTAGGGCCGTAATATTTGGACTATAATTCTATGGTATCTACCGTCAAAAAAAAATCATAAAAATCGCTGAAAAATTTTTTTTAACACTTTATTACAAGAAAACGGCCCGGCCGATCTTTACCAAAAACTAATCAGCACGATTCCCAACCAATATCTTTCGAACAATTTTTGAATTTTCAAAATCAATTGAGAATTGCGGGCTGAAACATGCACGAAAATTTTTTCACTTTTCTGCGATTTACAAAGAAGCGGCCCGGCTGATCGTCGCACAAGACTGAGGAACGCTAGTCCTCATCGAGATACATCGAATGGCTTTTAAATTTTTGAAATCGATCCAGCCGTTTTTGAGAAAACGTCGATTTACGGCAAAAAATCTGTTCACACACACACACACACATACACATACTTTTTCCAAATTTGGTCTGATTCGATTCAGAATGGCTTGGAACGTCGAGAAAACATAAACTTCTCCTTCGGGAAGTTAAAAATTTAAAATCCATTCAATGTACCTCGAAGTAGCAGAAAAGTGAGATTTTTTTCGTCCACGTTTTAGCCCGCAAATCGGAATCGATTTTGTAAATTCAAATATTTTGAAAGATATTATTTGGGCCGATCCGTTTCTTCTGTTGAAAAACTTTTGTTCTGTCTTCTGATGAACCTTTTTATGTTGATAGATACCATACCATGATAGGCCCTATAGTACATCGTCGTTCAATTTTAAAAATTTATCAATATTTGAAAAAATATAATAGTTCAGATTTGTGGCAAAAGTCGCTTCTGTGATGTGATAAGTCTTTGAATGAATAATTTGAATTACAGAAATTCAAAAGCCGTTTTAATAAATTTGTAAAGAAAGAGCCGCGACTAGATTTGCGAGAAAATCGGCCAAGCCATTAGAAATTTGAAATGGCTTTGGAATTAGCGAAAAAGTACGTGAGCAGTCTACAAAACTTCTTTAGTTGAGTAAAAAATTTTACCATCATTTTAAATCATTAAACTAGTTGCCTTAAGGCAAAATGCTGGAACTTCCCGTACGGTAACGAAATGTTCGAGAAATAACATTTTCAAATAGATTATTATAAGTACTGTAACTTTATTCATTATTTGTATTTTATAGACACAATATAAGAGCTTATGAATTGGACAACGACGTTTATATAAGTTTCTATGAAAAGTATATGAACAAAACTAAATAAATCAGATTTAAAATAAAGGGCATTGTTCAATATTTATAAGAATCACATAAACTGAAATGCAAAATTAAAATTACTTTTTTAAACTATCAAAGTGAGCTTTAGAACTTCAGCCAAAATTAGAATTATTTTCGATATTAAAAAAAAAAATTTTGCGGATTAAAAAAAACTATAGTGGTGTATGGCATCATGGCATCGTACCTTAGGGCAAATTGCTAGTACTTTCCGTACCATATTGAAATATATGAGGAATAGAAAATGTTTTTAAATAGATTATTATAAATGTAACTTTCATTATTTTCGTTTTATAAAAAGTAAATAAATAAAACTAAACAATTAAATTTAAAATGAAGGACATTGTCCTAAATTTATAAGAGTTATATAAACTGAACTAAAAGTGAGCTTTAGAACAAGCCAGAATTACAATTAAAATCCGAATTATTTTTTGATTTTTAAAAACAAGATTACAAAAAAAATTTGAGAATGAATTGCTTTCCTCAAAAGCAATCGTTTCGTCAGCACAAGCAGTTCTTTGAATCATTCAAATCAGACGCTTAGTTCTCTCAAAAACTGCAATTTTTTGCACATTTAGCTCTGTATCTTCGAAATGCCTGGACCTGCCTTTGCCAAAAAACTAATCACCTCTTCTCCCAATCATTACAAATTGAATGTTTTTTAGATCATTCAAATCGGATACTCAGTTCTCTCAAACACTCGATTTGTACTTTCTGCACTCGTATCTCTGTATCGGCTAGATCTGCCTTTGCCAAAAACTAATCAGCACATCTCCCTATCAATAGGAATCGAATGTTTTCTGAATCATTTAAATCGGTTGATCCGTGCATCCGAAAACTTGGACGAACTAGTGGGGCGCATGGCATCGTGCCGTAAGGCAAATTGCTGGAACTTCTCGTACCAAAAATTATTTTATTTTACAAAGATTAACATTTTTGAAAAAAAAATACTCTGAAAAAATTAGATTTTTGAGAAACTGTAAATTTTTGACAAAAATTTACTTTTATTTGAAGAAAAATTTATTTTTAAATATTTTGGAAATTCTGAACTTTTTTTTAAAGCAATCGTACTGCTTTAACTGCATAGAGACGAAATATCGAAGCGCGTAAGCGCCGCGTCGGTGTCTAACGGATAAACATTGGTACGAAACCCATAGGAATGTAAACAAAATTTATACTTATTGTCAAAATCTTTATCAAATATCTGATAATTTGATGTGCATATGTCTAATGTTCACTTTTGACCACCAAATGGCTCATTTTTTTACTTTTTCCTCTGTATCTCCGAAGTCATTGCGCCTTCCTTTTCAAAAATTTAAACAGTTTTTCATTTAGTCAATACAAATAAAATGTTTTTTGAATTATTCAAATCAGACGCTCCGTTCTCTTAAAAACTGAGTTACCGTTTTTGGCACTTTTTGCCCCATATTTCCGGAACGGCTAGACCTGCCTTTGTCAAAAAACTAATCAGCACGTCTTCTTATCAATACGAATCGAATGTTTTTTGAATTATTCAAATCGCTTCATCCGTGTTCCCGAAATTGTTGACGAAAATTTGTATCCCACACACATCACGCACACACACACATACATCAATTTTTTCTAAGGTATGCCAAAATGTTCAGAAGGTTTTGAAACGTAAAGATATATAAAAATTTTCATTTTCGATTTTTTTTGCGATTACTATAACTTACCCTACGGGGAAGTTAAAAAATGTGGACACGCACACATCCATTCTGAGGTATGCCAAAATGTTCAGAAACCTTCAAAACGTCGAGAAATACAAAAATTTTCATTTTCGATTTTCGGCCCATTACTATAACTACTCTACGGAAAGTTAATAAATATCAATATCAAAATAAGTATCTACATCATATTATCAGATACATTAATACCATAGCAAATAATTAATTACAATATATGCGATGTAATCCTATTGAACGAAAACAATTACATTATTGTGTTAGTTTTATATCTCCATTTATATTACAAACACGTAATCTAATATACATAATATAATACAATACAAACAAACAAAAAATAATATAATACAAACATGTAATCCTAGTTTTTTCAAGTATTATTACATATATGTTGTTTTAAATGATACAAATATCTGAAGTCTTTGTTACATATTTCGCATTTGTAAGGACACTCTCCTGTATGAATACGCATATGCTTTTTCATATTAGACAACCATGCAAATATCTTATGACAGAATTGGCATTTATAGGGGCGAACTCCAGAATGAATTCGCATATGATCTCTTAAATTATACAATTGACTGAAGTCTCTCTCACAAACATCACATTTGAAAGGGCGTTCTCCTGTATGAATAAGCATATGCTTGCTCAAACCACTCGGTCGGTGGAATTTCCTATTGCAAATTATACACTCATGAAAACCGTTTCCAGTATGGGTCATTTCATGCCGCTTTAATTCGTTTGATTGACGAAAGTCTTGGTTACACATTTCACATTTGTAAGGGCGTTCTCCAGTATGAATGTGCATGTGCACCTTCATATTATACAAATATCCAAATGTCTTATTGCAGATTATGCATTTGTAAATAGGTTCTCCTGTATGAATACGCATGTGGGTTTTTATATCACTCAGTTGTGCAAATGTCTCATTGCATACTCCACATTTATGAGAATCCTCCCCAGGATGAGTGAGCATATGAAGCCTTAATTTAGTTGGTTTTTGGAATGCTTTATTACATACTCCGCATTGGTAAGGTCGTTCCTCTGTATTCATATGGATTTTCAAAGCACCCAATGTGGTAAAAGACTTATTGCAAGCTCCACAGTTAGGAACAGGCTTAAGCTTTTTTCTAGAATGAGTAAGCATATGTCTCTTTAAAACAGATATGTGAATGAAGTCTTTGTTACAATCTTTACATTTGTAAGGTCTTCCTCCAGTATGAATATGCATATGCTTTTTCAGAATACTTGATGATGTGAAAACCATCTTGCATGTTCCGCATTGATGAAGACGCTTTCCATTTTGTTTTAGATTAATCAATTCAATACTAGGTTGTACTACAGTAGCAGGAATTATGAAGTACTGAACTAAAAGAGACTCAACATCTTGTTCCCTTCCATCTGCTATTGTCACTTCGGAATTCGTGAATCTTTCCAACGATTCAGAAGATTGTGTCTCGATTACCTCCTGTTTGACTTCTTCCTCAATTGATACTTCAGAATTCATAAATCTTCCTAAACACGTTTCATCATCCTCAGTACACGTTTCAGACTTAACAATATCATCAACATTATCGAATTCATCCTCAATTTCATATTTAATGTCTTCTTCTAAATATTCCGGCGGTTCCATTTTTATTTCCTGATCATCCTCCATGTACATCATAGTTTCTTCATTCATTTTTTAATATTTTCACTGCTTTTATTTAGTAAGTCTTCACGAAAACGATTGCGTACTATTTAATCGTGATTTAATAATAAATATATAATATTTTAATCATTAAATAGGATAATTTAACTATATTTATATTTATTGCGGGAAATCTAAGAAGTCGTATACAGTTGTTTGACATTTCAAGCATAGAGCATATTATTATGAAGACGAGACACTTATCTTGTTTTCAAATTCATAATAATTCTCTATGCTTAGGCCTTCGTCTGCCAACACTACACGACAAACTTTAGCGCATAGATAAATAGATAAATAAGAATTTAGCGAATTTAAAGAGTAAATGTTTTTAACAATACTGGAATGAATATTAACTCCCCAAAGAAGAAGTTTGTTTTCGCGAAAAATTCCGATTTGTTTTCTCGATATTTCAAGTCACATGTGATACTGAATCCAAGGAAACCAAATTTGTAAAAAGTATGTGTGTGTGAGTATTATTATAAATATAAACAAATTTAGAAAAAGTATATGCGTATAGAATGATTATTAGTTAAGAAATTATTGTTAGATATTAGGCAAAGTTTTTTTAGACTGTGCTTAAAATGTTATGTTTTTTTTTTAAATTGATTTTTATGTTTTAAATTTTTAATAGTTTTCTTTAAAATATAAAATCATATAATGTTTACTTATATTCTAAATATTGTTTAGGCAAGTTAATTACATTTTTCTTACTAATAATTTAACAAAATACTTTATTGTTTATGTTCAAACCTTAGGTGAATTAATTTGTCAAATCTAGTTCATATGTGCACTCTCCAATCTAATGTTTAATCTAAGATCAACTTGCTAAATATTCCATATCCAATGCCAAACAAATGAATTTTTGACACATGGAACAAAATTCTAAATCATTTTTAATAGGTAGAAATTATTTTTGTATTGTTAATAATTTAGTGAAGTAAACCAAAATGCGACATGCATAAGTTTAAAAAATAATGTTTATGCAATGTTTGTAGAATTTATGTTAAAAGTTTATGTGAATAATACAACAGTTTATGCAAAAGGATAAAAACAGACAGACTTATTATATATTCTTTAACTAGTCACATGCATTACAAATATTATTAACAATCACTTGTTTTACATAAAAACAAAAGAGAAACATATATACATAAACATAGTAGACACAGAGCGTTTAGTATCAAACTTAAACAATTTTGAACTTATTGCGTTATTTATTAAACTGAATTATATAATATCATTTGCCAATTGCCATACTGTATCTTATATTATTTTAATTTCTGGAACATCTCAGCTGCTTTTCGGCAATAATAATGTAGACCTTACATTTTTCTTGTATATTGGGTTTGTTCGATGTGCAGTCGCCGACAGTACACAACCGTCAGACGCATGCGCAGATCGTTTTGACCGTTCGATGTGTCCAAACTGAATCCCAAACTGTCGTGGATTTTTATCTACGCGTTCGGTCAGCTCGGTTTGATGCGTTTGTACCAGTTTGTGACTGTCGATTCGTGACTGCGAGAATTGGTATCAGGGCCTTTTCACTTAGAACAAAATCCTCGTTCAGAAGGAATACTTAGGGGTCCATTTGTAGTCGCAGATTTGGCGCTAGTGAGCCGATGAAAAAGTATTTTCAAATATTTTAGGTCGGTTACTAAGAAACGTCAGTGTTACTTTTGTTTAAGTTTACAAAATGGCGATTCTTGTTCGTTCGTGTTTGTATATTTGTTAATAAAGATTTCATCAGGAATTGCTCTCAAATGCATAGCCCTTTGACAATATGAACAGAACAGCTTCAAACAAATATGGAGGACATAATTACTACATTACTACGTAGTGCATTGACATATTGGTCTGATCATAATACACTTTAAGGAAAGAGGTCAGTTCTAGGAAATTGTGTAAGAAATCAAGTATGCGCTTCTATAAGAAAGACATAATACACAAATAAAAAGCTGTTCCTGCTGTTTAAAATTGGATTACCACTTCACACGGATCTGAATATACTTGCAAGAAAATGAATTGCTGAAGAATGTCAAATTTTGCACGGGATGATCATTAGTTAATGAGAGTTAAGAATGACAGACGATGTAATGAAATAACACTATAATGCATTATTCACTAAATTTCAATAAATATTTATATTAATAAGTAGAAAAAAGTGTAGAAGTTATTCCAGTAGATTAGATGTGATATCTATTATATATAATTGTATGTATTGCAGTGTATTTGTTGATTTATATTTCGATTTGATTGTATATTTATTATAATATAATATTATCTAGTATATTTTTGTTATTATTGTATTGCTACAAAACATAATAGGATTGCAATAAAAAATTTAGTTTCAAATATCCGTGCACTAAAATTCATTAATTTTCATTTCGAATTTTGCGCCATTAATTTGAATGCCAAAAGCAGCGCCATCACGTCGAGCGGAGGACCCTTTAAGTATTCCTTCTGAACGTAAAAATCGGGCGAGAGAAGCGTCTATATGAACACGGGGTATTCTAATATTGTCTAGGATTGGTATTATTGTCTATGTATTGGTGTCTGACGGTTTCAAATAAATTTCTTTTGGTCATCACAAACTGCCCGAATCTGTAAAATACATATAATTGTAAACTGGAATACTGTGAAACACATATAGATGCAAGTAGATGAAAAGCAGTACATGAATTGAATAAAATCCTTTTCGGTTCATATATGAATTTGGATCCTCTATCGGTTTATCTATTCGAATGTGGCAACCGTCAATTGCACCAATTACATTTAGAAAATCATTTTTAGCAAATTCTGCGCGGCAATCACAAACTTTTCCTCATCACTCGGCCATTTAATAAAATTGCTTAAAAAGAAGCAACCCTTTGCACTATTCCATGTAAAGTACTTAACGTTATATTAAAACGATCACTGACATCCCTGTAGCTGGTGTTTGGTGTCCCGCAAACCATAAAAATATTAGTATCTAAAATAATATGTAATTAATTATGATTTTACTGGTTTGTCAATTATAGTACATTTTTTACCTGATTAAATGCACAGATTTTTCCGAATGGTCCATATTTATTTTGTTATAATATTTACTATCTTCATATATTTCTGATATATTAGAACACGTTGTTTTGCTTATTCTGAAGTGCTCGAGAAATTGTATGTCATCAAACAATGGCATCACTTTTTCTGTCAAAAAAAACTAAAATGATTAAATTGCACTTATGGAATATTATATTATATTAACCTCTTTTAATTATATAACTGATACTTACCAAGATATTCTTCATTTTTTGTAACTTGAACAAACTCTAATAAATCTAACTCCTCCTCATCGTTCTGCAAAAAATCATAAAAAAACTCGTTGTCACTCATTATGTTAAATTCTCTCCATAAAACACATTAAACATTTCATTTACTCAAACTGAGCAAATAAACAGAAACACGAAACGAACTATACCGAAGACATGCGAATGAACTCTCGGCAGTTTCGTCGCGTTCGATGTAAACCGTCTTGTCAAACCGTTGGAAACTGTCATGAGATGGCGCATGCGCAGTGTAACAAATCAGAATGAGTTTGGAAGAGTTGTGGACTGTCACAAACTGCTCACTGCGAACAGACCCAATTTTAAGTTTCTAACCATATCAGTTCGTTGGTAGTTTTCAAAAGAGTTTTTAGAGTACACCGAGTTGTTATAGAGTTTTATAATGTTAGACAATATTTTGGATTGTTTAATTTTAAATAAATTTCGTAAAGACATCATTTATATCAATCGAATGGTTTAGAAGTTACAAGCGATGCAATAAATAAATGCACAAATATTTGCAGTTGATTTTGTCTTGTTATATGAATAGTGAGAGTGGGTTGTAAAAACTAAAAATTACTTGTTTATCTATGAACAGACCCATTATTTCGAATATTATCTAGGCTCATAATTTTAGCTAAATTCTAGAAATTGACATTTCTAGCAGATGAGGGTTCAAATGTTTTCAATGTCAAACAATAATAAGTGATTTTTTTGTGTAATATTTGCCATTTATTTCTACAATTTTACTATAGTTTTATCGTTTATTAAATCTTAGAAATTTCTTTTGACAAACTCTAAAAAGAATTATCAAAATACGATTAACCGTTTAGGAGAAGTATCAAATCATACACCCGTACAGAAGTATTTTATATATAAGATATGTCAATATATAGGTTTAGGATTCGTTGTAAAACGAAGTGATTTTATAAAATCGTATATATATTTGACATTGAAATCTTTCGCGACCCCATATTTTTTGCGACACCAAATGTGGTCAGGTGGTCAGGACCCATAGTTTAAGAAGCCTTGTTTTAAATAATTGTCAATGTTGGCGACCTTGGCGCCATGTTTTAAATTTTGACAAGTCATGAAGAAACGTCAAACTTTAATAAGATGTTTATTTTTATGAAAAAAATATTAAAAAATAACAATATTTAGATATTAGATACTTTATTTTCTTTTAAATAATTTTATTAATCAAATTATTATATAATATTTGTGAAAATTTGCGGTTCTGGATAAAATTACATCAGATATTGAAAATGTCTCTAGAATCAAACTCCTTCCTGAACGATCAGGTAATAAAAATTGTATAAAACTCTTTAATTTCCAAATGCATACATAATTTTGTAAATTTCTAGTCAGTATTATCTTCTGAAGACAATGAGAGTTTTTCCGAAACGTCCATGACGATGAACCAAGATATAAAACAAGAGGCACTTGAAGCAAGTCCTCGACAAAAAACATACAACTGTGATATTTGTAATAAAGTTTTTGTTAATTTTAAATATTTTAAACGACATATTGTTGTGCATTCCGAGAGCAAATCATTCCAATGTAAATATTGTGATAAGACCTTCACGAAATCCAATGCCCTGTCTGTACATTTAAGGACGCACACAGGTAACAACTCTTATACTCATGCAAACATATTCTCATAACAACAAAAAATTGTTCTGGATTTTCAAAGATTACCGTTTATCTCCGAATCAAGGTTATAGCTGGTTATACAGCTTTTTCCCTCTACTTTCAAATATTGTTGGTGAACGATT